GGATTTTGATGCTAGGACCCGCTTTGACTATCTACTTAGGTGTGCCCATATTTTTCATTAGCGACTTTTTTCGTTTATCATATACGCACACGTCACTTGCTAGAAGTAGCTGCATTTTTATGCTGCCTTGTTCGAGATTTTAAAAATAATATATTCTCGACTGCAGAGTAGACAACGCACACTCTCGCTACGCGACCCTTACAAATTCGTGTCGTATCGGACGGTTCGGTCAATACAACGAAACTGCCCCCATTCCCTATTTTACTGCCCTAAGAAGCTACAGAGTACGCTGCTACAGTCAATACGCTTCAGTTTGGACCAGTACCCAGAAAACCAGCAGAAACCCTTTTCAAAGGTAAGTGATCTGTGCGTACCGGGCTCAAACATTTATTCCATTTTCTCTCCAATCATACAGTCCACTAAACAATTTTCATATTTTCCGCCACACAAACTATGAATATCCACTTTTCACTCCAAAATATTTTTCTTCTTTATATTTTCTTTATTTATTAAAGTTATCTACCTAGAATTTCAAACCTTGTCAGATATCTGTTTGATTTGTGTTATGACTTACTTTACTTTATGAACTATTTAAGATCTTTATGATACCTTATGTCCTTGGATCTTATAAATATGAAACTCATGAAACTTACGTACTCGTACTATTTATGTTAGGTTTTATGTTCTAGTGGCGAGGTCGCCTATTTTTGTCAGGAAAGCCAAGTTGTGAGCTTTGCCTCCAGAATATTCATTTATGTTTGCTAGTTTGTTACTTTTATTATATTTATTGGCACCTGTATGGATTGCATGGAACAACAACACGGACGAGGATAGTTGACAGCAGTTGCAGCAGTTGGCCGAGAAACAAATAATTTCTAGAGTTCAATAGAGTTAATTTTATACAATTTTTCACAATTAAAGCTGAATATTACAGAATGAACATTCATGGAAAATATTTAATAAACCCGCTAAGGCCTCCTACAGTATTTATTTTTATATGAGACACCCTATATAAGAGAAATTGCCAATATTTTCATTAAAATTCCAGCAAATCAAAATACATTATAAACCATTAAAAAGAGCATTACATTATCTATAAATCCGTGCTTAATTCAGTTTAATAGCTTCAATACTTTCTGGTTAATTGAGCCGCAAATTTGAATATTTTCAGTTAACCAAACATTCCCAAACTGTTGCTTCAATCCTTTAGGTAAATTGAAAATTTGATTAAAAAAAAAAAAATCTTTGTAAACGCAGTCAAAGCAAGTGAATGGCGCAATTTCTATAGTTGACTTAATTGGTCATAAGTTGCGATCTGTTTCAACTCAATCGAAATGAGTGGGTTTACACCGGCATCGTTTGATGAGCATCCAAAAATAAAATCTCATTTTTTTCTGACAAGGTTAAGAAAAGGTGGGCCAAAGATGAAACGTTGAATTTCAAATTTGATAATGCCATTTTGTAGAGAAGAGAAAGTGACAATTTTCCTGGAAGTTGAAAGAAATTAATTTGAAAGAATGTCCCAGTAGTATCGACCTCCCAAAAATTCTGAAGAAAGTAATTTGAAAACGTACACAATAACCATGATTATTTGGTCCCAGATAAAAAAATCCATTAATTATCAATCAACGACATAAATAAACAAATTAAGCCATTGGCTACGCCACTGGACCCGAGGGGTCACTTGCTAAGCACAACATTTAACGATAGAGTGCTCAGTTTAAGTGATCAAAGTTGATATAATTAAGAAAACATTATACATGCATCGGATCGGCTTCAAGAAAAATGTTTAAAATTTGCAAAAACGGCCATAAAGCTGAAGTTTTGAAAAAGGCAATTGTTTGCGGGAAAAAAGGCAGTTTTTTTTATTGCAGTGATGTGACTGTGCCCAGACAAGCGGATGTTGTAGTAATTGGTAAGTTTTTTCAATAGTTAATAGTTGCTCATCAACAAAACAACCCTTAATTTTTAAATAATTTTAGACCTTTTCTAAGCAATTTTCAAAAAAAAAAAAAATTTATGGAAACTTATATAACAATATTGTTAAATAATAGTAATCAAAGAGGGCCAAAGTTCAGATATTTTGTAACTTATTTTTATCATCGAATAAAGTTTGTGTATATTATTTTTACGATAAAATTTCCGAATTTAGGTGGCGGTATCAGCGGCTGCAGCTTGTTCTACCAACTAACCAAACGAGGAGTCAAACCAATTTTAATCGAAAGAAACAAAGTCACAAACGGAACTACATGGCACACAGGCGGTCTTGTTTGGAGCTTGCGACCAAACGATACCGACATTGAAATTTTGAGCAAAACCAAAGAAGTACTCAAAAATTTGGAACAAGAAACTGGAGTCGATCCGGGTTTTACAAATAACGGAGGGATATTTATAGCAAGAAATCCTGTAATAGTGAATAAATTCTTTGACGAAAATTAGAATAAATTTTTTATTTATTTTAGGAAAGATTAGAAGAATACAAACGTCTTCACACTCTTGGCCACTATTTCAACATAGACAGTCAATTAATTTCACCAAACGAGGCTCACAAACTTTCCCCTATTTTAGACCCAAAATCCTTCTATGGAGCTCTTTATTCTCCTACAGACGGCTATGTGGATCCCACAATGTATTGCAACGCCCTTATCAAAGGAGCTATTGCAAATGGAGGACAGGTAACTTATTATATATAATTTTTACAAAACTTAATTTTTTGTCATACGATCCCAAAAACAGCTATTTTACGGACTCATTCAAGTCCGTAAAATGCTTCTTTTTAGGATTTTTTTTTCTTCCTGGATGCACCTTTATGATTTCAAAAATTAAGGAAATTTTGCAAATTTTAGCGTTCTGAAGAATTCTAAAAAGCGTATGACAAAAAATAGTGTTTGTCATACGTACCTAAAGAAGTTTTTCACGACTCATCTGCTATTCCGGACTCGGCTGACGCCTCGTCCGGAAACAACAATGATTCGTCCTGAAAAACTTCATTTTAGGTACTTATGACAAAAATAACTATATTTGTGTAGGTCTTTGAAAAAACAAGCGTCACAAAAATCCACACAGAAGAATCGATTCAAGGTTTGAAAAAAGTGGTCGGCATCGAAACTAATCGAGGTACCATCAAAACTGGTACCGTCGTCAACGCAGCTGGGGCTTGGAGCAGAAAAATCGCCAATATGGTGGGGATCGAGATCCCTTTAACACCTATGAAGCACGCCTATGTTATCACCAACACTGTCGAAGGAGCTAGAGGTTCGCCTTCTATAAGGTGCCACGATAGTTCGCTATATTTCAGACCGCAAGGAGATTCGATACTTTTTGGAGGGTACGAACCCAATCCTGTGATACTCAAAGATGTAAGTGACTAGCTATAGGTCATTCATACATATAAGAAATACATAATCATTTGCATTTTATTAGTATTTATTGGACATATAAACAGGTGTCAAAACCAGCAGTAAATAGGTCGAGAGACGGGTGGATTGTAGGGAAAGGTTGAAATCTTTTTATAATTTTCAAAAGCAAGTGTCCCATTTTAGGCAACCTTTCCCTACTAGCCCAATCCACTACCCATTAATTAAAAATTAGAATTAGAATCAAAGGAATTAGCAAAATTCCTTATTAGAAAAAGAAAACAATCTTATATGCCGTATTCAAGACAAATAGTCCAGAGCAATTAGGGGTCAGGGGTAAACAAATTAGCTTAATGCTACCACCACCATTATTCGATAGCTTTTAGGTTCCCTATGAGCATACTGAAAGTCCTCATTGCTGTGATTCGTGGAACATCCCCAAATCTGGTTCGCCATCTTGATTTTTCGCATTTTTTCCTAGTTTGCTTCAATATCTTGGAAACAAATAGGAACTTGTAAAATGTTCAAGAGAACTGGATATAAAATAAGTCTGACCCCTACTTTCAGATTAGCTGAAATGTTCGATACCTAAGAAAAGTTCCCATTTCCAGGATGTAACTCTCCGAAAACTAGCCTGCGACCTTGCATTTTCAACCAAATTCTAGAGGATTAAGATTATTTCCTAACCATTGTTGTATTTGGTAATACACTCTTAAGCAGTGATATTTTAAAGAGTCTGGGTAGCAGACAAACGGAGCTCCGGAGGATGCCGAACGATATTCCGCGTGTGGCTAAATTCACCAAAAGGTTGCATTGATCCTGTGTGAAATGATCCCGGGTTCGATTCTCGTTGAAGGCAATGCATTTTTTTTTTCAGTTTTTTTTTTCTTTATGGTTTTTATTGTTCTTTTAAAGAATATTAAGAGGACGGGTTATTTTGGATTAATTTTGATTTGCTGTTTCGTTAAAAATAACAACATACAAAAAATAGCATTTATTACGAATTACGGAGCTCCGCCTGTCTGTTCCCTAGACTCTTGATGTGTAATATTTGGCTGCATTTGAGGTAGGTGGAAGAGTTGCAAGTTCAGGCAATGGACGATTACGCGCCGCGGTCAGAAAAATTTTCAGGTACTACTAGTACCAAGGGCCGATAGCGCACCGAACCCCTTCCACAACATGGGATGATTGCGCGCCTACCTCATTCTATGGAAATTATAAAAAGTTGAAGGAAAAGACATAGTATGAAAATGAAACATTTATTTTATTTTTTCACAAACTTATAGGATACGCTTTTTATGAATTCGAAGCCTTTCGCCTTTCGAGTCGAAGGGCTTCTTCAGCAAACACATTGCCAACTCCGGCAGGGTCTAAAAGTAATATACCAAATGTTCAGCAGTCCAGCGTAACTATTTGCCTATGAGTCTAAATTACGATATTCACTAACTAGCCCTAGGCTTTTTATTTTTCGAAACGACGACCGATTTAAATAAAATCTTCATCCGACAATCTCAGTATTTTGCCAAACTTTCTTAATATTGGGATGAATGGCTCTCTCAAAATCACATACTTTTAATATATGTTTGGGATATAAATTCAAATCTATCGATTTACAATATTCATTTAATAATTGAAAATCCTCCGAAGAATTTTCGGAACTCTTATTTGGAAGCAAATTAAAAACCAATGTTGGCAACCCCCTGCCGAGATAATTATTACCAGGTATGCACCTAATTTGCATTCCGCGCGCAATCGTCCCCTGCCTTTTTTGGGTGATGAACCGAAGATATCGGTAGCAGGTACTTTCCGTGCGCAATTGACCTGTACCCGCAAGTTTAATTTTACATTTTGACGGACGGTAATGCTGTTATATTTATGAAATTTTAAGTCATTGAGTGTCTATATTTTAGTTTTGCCATATACAAGTAAGAGAAATTCTTCGCCAATTTTAACTATTTCTTGCTTATCTGCCATTACATTCTGGAAAACATGAGTGAATAGTTTTATTGCCTTCTAGAACTTCAATAGGCATTTTCCTTGTTTATGCATTGCAGATGTGGTATCACATGCGCCAATTGCATGGGTAAATAAAATTTCACTTACTACTGGCCCTAAAGCTTCTTGTGAAAGTAAAATTTCGGTAATTTTGATTGCTTGACTTTGGTTTCCGGGCCGTAACATAAAAACGTTGTTATCTTCAACAAAATGGAGCAGTAATACCATAAAGTACGTGTCTTGGCCAACAACTGTCACAGAAGTCTCATTTTTCCTCAAATTCAAAGCTGTTAAGTTCTCCGCAAGATTAAGTACTAGGTAAACCATCATACCTATCAAAATCCACTGTATAATTTGAACCATAATGAAACTGGATGAACTTTTCATATTGCTCAAAAATCTCTGCATAGGTGACTTTAACTTTGTGAATTATGTAGCCTCCATCTATTACAAAAACTCCGTCTATTGGAACACTAGACAGCGGCTTGCATTTCGTGTCCATTTTCGTCAAAAGAGCTGTATATGTGTATAAAATAATAACAAATATAGCCGAAATGGCATAGGTGAATGTAATATTTTCAATATTTGGAGGTCGACAGAGACTACCACAGTTTGTGAATGTTGTTATATTTCATCGCTCTCACAGAAAAAACATATTTAGAAACTTTTTTGTCTCTTGACAATTTTTGATAAACCTTACAGTGCTCGAGATATTAGTACAAATTTATTAAAAGGATGAAAAATCAAGATGGCGGACTGGATTTGGGGATGTTCCACCAATCACAGTGACGGGGACTTTTAGTAAGCTTATAACTAAAAACTATCGAACACGAGTGATGGCAGCTTTAAGCTAATTTGTTGAGGTCAAGCATATACCATTTCATAGGTGCACCGTAGTAAAAATCAAATACGGTTCTGAACAGGGCTTGCTTGCTCCATTTTAAAAGCACGAAATTTCTTGTATCGATGGATACAGTATTGCTACTCATATTTTTCTGTCTTTTGATAATCAACTTTGTGTCGCTTTTCCATTGCTTCGCTTTCTTAGTATACAGAGTGGGGACTTTAACTAGAACTAATTCGCTAGAACCTTCGGATAAAATATGTGAACAAAACGGAAAAACACGTCAATTAAGATTTTTTCCTCAAGATTTTTTCATATAAATTTTTTTTATACAGGGTGTTCCAAGAACAGCTGTACGGTTATCAACTTTATTTTTTTGAATGGTAGCCCCTGTATAATATGATATTTCTGGATTCTGCAGAAAATTCTAGACATATTTGATTTACAATGTCATATACCTTTCACTCTCGAGGGGAGCATTTGAGAAATATCGTTTGTTTCTTTGTTTGTCCCATTGAGGTACGTTTGTCTTAATGACCCCTATCGAAAATGACGTAGCGCCTGTTGACCTCGGCTCCTGCACGATTTCAGAAATTCCTTTCTTAATAAATCTACATTATAGTCTGCTCAAGGAGAAACGTCAATCAAAGGCTACAACGGAATAAGGACATAGAAAAATCTTAGGTATAGTCCAACAAATACCATTTTAAAGTCACGTGATTTTTCTCTATCCTTGTTGAATACATCTCAAACAGCGGTGATAGTAGAATTGACAAAAAAATTGGTGTCTAATTATTGTTCATAAAATTCTTACCTGAAATAGAATCCGTCACTGTCATCAATTAGTTTGTCAAAGTTATTTTCGAAAATGATACAACGAACAAACACAGCTAAAAATTTCGACTATATTAACCTTTTCCCATCTCGAAAAGAAGCAAATAGAAAACGAGCACCTAATTCAAGTTCAGAATGAATTACAACGGGCAGCAGATGCGTCAAAAGTGAGTCTCGCAACAATTGCAAGTATTAAAATTCCCATCTGATTGGTTAATATTACTTCAGAAACGCGTTTGTAAAATGCTAGTGGGAACATATCTTAAAATTCAATAGTTATTAACCACCAGTAACTTTTTGTAGGTGATATCAACGACAATCAATGGACATACGTTTTTTGCCACCAAAATCACGTGACTTTAAAATGGTATTTGTCGGACTATACTCTAGCAGATTTTCCTTCCACCAGCCCGAGGACCCAAGAAAACACTTTCTTGACAGAGGGCAATGCCGTCGGCAACAATTTCTGTCACAACGTTGCCAAATGAATAAGGTTACATAATAAAAATGCACGATGCGTGACTATTATTCTATAGAACGGCAACACCGGCTAGTTTTCTTCATTTCATTCTATTACCTTTATTACATTAGTCCCGTAAGGACTTTTCAAACTTGTACAATAGATCAGACTTGGTCGCGGTGCAACTGACACCTCCAACACAGACATACACATACACATCATAAATTGTTATATACATTTTCTAACTTCTTCTTTCCTGAACTTTTCTAATGAGTTTTGTGTATTTTTAGCATACTCTTCCCTACTTTGATGCATACTAAACACCCTAGCTGTATCTTCCTGGTTTTCTGAAATTTTCCAATCTTGATGCAATACAGTATAATCATCTGCGGGTAAGGCTTAAGAAAATGGCAGGAGAGAGGTAGAAATGTCTAAAAGCGCACCTTATAGCTTCAATTTCTACGATTACTTGAAAATGAGGCATGGTGGCCCAGTTGGAATAGAATGGACCTAGATTCTCTCAATCCAGTTGCTTAAACTAACCTTGGATACCTTAAGGGCGATGAAGTAGGAATAGAGAGCTGGTATTACTTAGTCCTCTTTTAAGTCTGACTTTCCGTGAATTTATTTCGTATCATTTCTTGTGGTAAATTTGCTCATTCACAGTGGATGTTCAAAATAATGATTTCTTTTTTGTGATAACAACACTAATAGAGGGAATGATCAACCTTGATTCTAGCAAAATGAAAACTAGTGTCATCCTATAGTGGAAAAAATCAAACATCTCGACTATACCAATACTTATTTTTCTTCAGTTTCAATCTCATTCTGAATACTATTGAAAGTTACATTGATTTTGAATTCTCCATACACTTAAATAACAGAAGCTCCTCCTGTGTTGTTATTCCTGGAATACCTTCAGAGCCTTATTGACTGTCGATTCAAGGCAACTCAAAGCACTAATCGATGAACTTATTACTATAAAATTCCCTATAAAAATCTTGATACATTGAAGTTAATTTTTAGGTAGAGGACGACTTCGACTTCAAACTCTACGAACTGGACAAGAGCGTATTCGAAACTCATTGGAAACACGCAGTGGAACTTTGCCCCTCTTTCGAGAAAGCCGGAATCAAATCAGACGTTTGCGGCCCTGAAGCCTTCACGCCCGATCACAAACCTTTAGTGGGAGAAGATCCAATTGTTGTTGGTAAGAGACTTCTCTTCTTGATTTGAGCATAATCTATGATTCAACTACTTCTAGGTATGTACTACAACTGTGGTTTCAACTCATTGGGTATGATGTTCAGTGGCGGAGTCGGCGACCAACTCGCTACATGGATATCGCAGGGACGGCCCGACATCGACATGCACTCCTTCGACATTCGAAGATTCTCTCAGCACCAAAAGCCTGACAGAGCTTGGGTCACCGAGACGAGCCACGAAAGCTACGCGAAAACCTACAGCATCGTTTACCCTCACGATCAAAGACTTTCTGGTAGGAATTTGAGAATTGATCCGTTTCACGAGCATTTGGTAGCAAGTGGTGCTGTCATGGAAGAAGCTTTAGGATGGGAAAGGCCTGCGTATTTCATTACAGAAGATCGCACAGCGCCTTTACGTGGATACGATTGGTACGGAAACTACGACCATGTAAGAAACAAGGATCAACGATACGAAAAGGAGCTGGAAAAAGATTTAACGTTTGGGTTTTCGAAAAACATCGATCTTGTACGTATATAAACAATGATTTTTACTTACCTAATAATATTTTTTCTTTTAGATTCAAAATGAAGCCTTGGCAGCTAGAAGTAACGTCGCCCTCTTCGATTTATCTTGCTACACCAAAATGTACTTGGCCGGTCCCGATGCCGAAGAAGCAGCCGATTGGTTGTTCACCACTCACTTAAGTCAAACGCCTGGTAAAGTTTCTTATACTTTGTCTCTCAACTCTAAAGGAGGCATCGAGTCCGATGTAACGGTAACTACGTTGGAAGAGGGCGCAGGGACACTTGTAGGGCCAATATTGAAGGGCAAAGGCTACTACATCGTAGCAGGAGGTTTGTCCGGCTATCAAACAAAAAGTCATTTGAGGAAGCAGTTGTTTAAGAAAAACTTTAAATCGAGGATAACGGAAATTACCGATCGGTTGGGGATTTTGTCCATTCAAGGTCCGAAAAGGTGAGGTTTTTGACGTCTCTCTATTAGATGATAAATTCTATATTATCCATTCTAGTCGAGAACTTCTCCAATCCGTTACCGAATCGCCAATAACAGACGAAAAATTCCCAATGGGCATGTCGCACATAATCAAAATCAATGGTCACACGTGCAGGGCAATGCGGCTAAGCTACGTCGGAGAATTGGGTTTCGAAGTTCACATTCCTTACGCCCATTGCGTGTCGGTTTATCACAAGATTATCGACGCCGGAAGGGGTTTCGATCTGAAACTCGCCGGGTTTAGAGCCATGGATGCTCTTAGCATGGAAAAAGGCAACAATTTTTACTTTGATAAGGGGTTTTTATTCGGGCTTAATGGCCGTCATAAGTTGGAATTTCTTCCTGACGTTCCGCTAGCACGCGTGGGTAGCATCTCCAGAGGTGCTTCCATGTCCGATTCTGGTAGCAGACTCACGCGTTCCCGACCGTAAGTTGTATTTATGTGTGAGTGGCTGTGATGGGGGAGGGGCAAGGCTTCGCGGCACGTGGCTAATCTCAACTCTCTCTGTACTCAATGGGATCTTTCTTGCGTTTTTGAGGATCGGATTCCAGATTTGGTTAAGTTTTAGGGTTTCTTCTTTCCTGTTGAAGTTCTCCGTATGTTTGTGGATTTCGATAGCTTCACGTACAAGACGATTGTGGTATCCGGAAGTCGGTGCAAGAAGCTTGACCTCACCAAAGAGTATTTCATGATTTCCTTCACTAAGCGCATGTTCCGCAACTGCCGATTTTCCCGATTGTCTTTGTTTGCAGTTTCTTTTGTGCTCGTTCATCCTGTTTCCCATGGATCTTTTTGTCGTTCCTATGTAGACCTTACCACATGTGTATGGTATACGATAGATTCCAGCGCTTGACAGTGCGGGTTCCTCTCATCCTTGGCTGATCTGATTGATTGTTTCTTCAAGACTTTCCCTATCCTGTCTGTCACCCGAGAAATGAAAGGCAGATATGCATTAGCCACCACTGGCCCTGTCGATTTCAGATGCATTGTAACTATTGGATAGAAAGGCCGACTTGAGATGATCCAGTTCTCGCTCGAAATATTGTGGTTCGCAGATGTTCCGAACACGTACTGTTAACGTTGTTATAATTCCATGTTTTTGCCTTGGATGGTGGTTTGAGAGTGCATGCAGGTTCTGTCTATGTGTGTAGATTTTCGGTACACTGTGTGGTTTAGTTTTCCTCCAGATTTCTTTATGAGCACGTCTAAGCAGGCGAGAGGAGAAAAATCAGGAAATCGACTTCCGGATATCACAATCGTCTTGTACATGAAGCTATAGAAATTCACAAACATACTTCAACAGGAAAGAAGAAACACTAAAACTTAACCAAATCTGGAATCCGATCCTCAAAAACACAAGAAAGATCCCATTAAGTACAGAGAGAGTTGAGATTAGCCACGTGCCGCGAAGCTCCGCCCCTCCCCCACCACAGCCACTCACACATAAATACAACTTACGGTCGGGAACGCGTCAGTCTGCTACCAGAATCGGACATGGAAGCACTTCTGAAGATGCTAGCATCGCGTGCTAGCGAAATGTCCGGAAGAAATTCCAACTTACGACGGCCATTAGGCCCGAATAAAAACCCCTTATCAATAAACCTGGGCCGCAAAAGCCTCACAAACTTTATCAATTTTTACTTTATCGTATTACCTATTTTGAATGTATAAGTTTGAATTTTAGGATACCATTTACAAAATAAGGATATTAGGATTGATGATAATCCTGTTGAGGCAGGATTGCAAGGCTTTTGCAGAAAAGACGGACAGTATCAAGGAAAATCTGTAGTAGAAAGAGTAAGATTGATTTGTGAATTTAAACTGATTTGAAAAAAATCATTTCCAAAGGTAAAACGTGAAGGTGTTTTAAAGAAGCGCTGTTTCTTCACTCTCCAAGACAATGTTGCATTATACGGCCTAGAATCTATTTGGAGAGATGACGTAGTCGTTGGTTATTTAAGAAGAGGCAACTACGGATTTGCTTTGGATTCTCCTATTGGAATAGGGTATATTTTTCAAAAAACACTAATGGAAATCTCCTTGAAATTCGTTTTGTTTTAGGTACGTCCGACACCCTAAAGGCAAACCAATCGACAACGAATTCCTAAAAACTGGCGAATACCAAATCGAAGTCAGAGACAAAAAGTACCCTGCAACGCTGTACCTTAAAAGTCCCTTCGATCCGACCAACCAGAGACTTTTGGGCAGATACGAGAACCAGTTCGAAGAACAATCGCACTTTGAAGACTGATGAACTAAATTAATTGTGTAATTATTTTTATTAAAGACAGTGGGCTAAAAGAAATAGTATAATAAATAAAACAAACTTAATTATCCAGTTGACACAATAGGGCCATGCTTCGTTTTATCCAATGAGATTGATGCTCTAAAGTGTTTAATAATATTGGTAGAACGTAATTGGTAGAGTGGCCAGTGGTGCTTAGAACTCCTCTTCTTGCAGAGGTTTTGTATACTGGAGCGAGATAGCGGGTACCTACAAAAAATTTAACTTCCATGAAAAGTGGATATTATTCCGACACGATGATAATAATCTCAGGAACAAATAATTCTATTTCTTAGAAATAGCTGGAGGAGGAGTTTAGGTCAACGTATCGAAATCGACGTTGAAACTGATGTTATGAATTTTTTTGTCAGATAAAACATTGAATTTTCAATGAGAGACATCTCAAGTAGAGTATAGTCGGCACTCGGCATAGTCATTAGTCCAAGAATAGATAAAGTGTCGAGAGTCAAAAGTCATTATATTAGAATAATTTAGTGAAAATAAGAAAAGAGTGTAAGTACTCGTAGCAAAATTGAGACTTATTAACTAGGGAAATATAAAGCACATATTGACAACTCCCCAAACATGACTCGAACAGATCCAATGATTCCAGGAAGATCATCCTATTTGGTAAATTATCATTTTCAATTTTTACCTGGCTCGTAATTTTTTTCACGTATGGGAATAATCCATACTAGTGGCATAACATCGTGTAAGATTTTCGGAAGTAATTCCGCAATTACGCCTTTATTTCTATCATAACGGGCACCATCAGTGAACAAACCATAAATGTAGGCCCCTGAAAACCATAAAATAAAACGCCAAATCAAATTCTCCAAACCCCTTACCGTCTGGTGGAGCAGTTGAACTCTCCTCTCCTTTCAAAATATCAAAATCAAACGTCAACTTATCGATGGGTATCGTATACTTCCTGGCAAAATTTTGTTTTACCCCCGTCAAAAACGCTTGAGTAAAAAAGAAGCCAGATATCCAGTAAGTAGGCGGTTTGCCTTCGTCGAACCACTTTTGCAAAAACTCGATTCTGTTAACGAAATCGGAAACGTAGTTTGGCAAGTTTTTTAGGCTTGGGTAAGAGACTGCTGCCCAACTAGCCGGAATCCTGCCCATCAGTAACGAGTTGGAAAAGGCTTCTACTTCTGGAGACATTGCCACAAGACCTAAAAAAAAATCAATGTATAGGATATTAATTTTAAATACAAATAATACCTTGTAAAGCTTTCATCATAGTCATCAAAGTAGCCCTGATAGTTCTGATCAGCCGATTAAACCGTTCCATCTCCTGCACCAAAACCGTATTCATGGATTCAGTATACTGCACCGGATATTTTTGGTAGGCGGTTTCCAAGTTAAAAGCCTCAGGCACTTTCGATAAAATATCCGTACAAAGGACGGTTATTTGTTTGTCGGTGTCCATACCGCCGCCACCAGTCGTTTCTCCGTAGGCCATCAAAACAGATGCCAAAAGCAGCCTGGAATCCTGCAAGTCTCTTGTAATGCCGGCATTGGTGTGAAGCCCGAAAATTTCCGGTGGATGAATCGCCGGGAGTCCTTGGATGTGAGCCACATAAGCGGCATGCTCTATTTTTTCTGGAAACCCGTAACAATCTCCCACTCTACTAAACACATAACTCATGTCGGAAACAATGGAAGTGTTTAGAAAATCCGACAAAATGGTCACAATAAGCCTTCTATCCCAATCATCAGTTACTCTTCCTCCGTAGTTACATTCTCCAATCAGATACGTCAAAGCTTCAAAAGGATCGTCGCTCTCGTTGATGAACATTTGCAATTGCTGCACCGATATGTCGAAATCCGAATCATTAAATCCATAAGGAATGTTCCAGCCTAAAGGTCCAAAAGTCCGCCTCTCTTGCACAACCGCATGGAAGAACGCCAATCCATAAAGCAACCGGGCGAACATTTCCTCATGATCCAAACACCCGTTGTAGAAATCCGGATTTTTAACCGGATCGCTTATGTAGGATTTCAGGAGGTTATTTTGCAGACCGGTCGGAGGCTCGTTGGTCATTTTGACGCCTTTTTGCAGCAACGATATCGGAAACTTGTTGCTAGGATAGCTGGTCAGCCACAAACGGAACATATCGTGCGTGTTTATGTAGTCTAGTTTTTCGAAGATTTTTTCTAGGCTCGGCATCCAGGAGGTTGCCAAGTGGCAATTTTGTAAGCAAACCCACATACCGCCTTCCTGAGCTTCTTCTATTAGGGCTTGGGCCATTGGTCCTTGGCCTTGACCAAGGGAAATCGAACGGAATCTACGAATAAATGGGTCTCAATCAATCTGTCAAACCCCTACAGAGTGACCTTGGAATTATAGTGTTGAAGCATATGGGATTCCAGATGAATTCTAGATTTTGTAGATGAGAAACTCCTCATTTTTATATCAGAACGTCTTACCTATCAGACATTTTCTTTTCCTCAGCAAACTTGACCAGCTGCGCCATAGGATCAGTACCAGGGGACAATATAAATATCAAAGGACAAAGACTATATGAATCGTCGTAAGACAGTGAAATACTAAACGGCGGCGGTTTGATGAATCTCTCGTCCATTTCGATTTTGACAAATGTGCCTATGGCTCTTGTTAATTTATCCGGTCTTAGGACTCTAATAACGATTAAACGACTGGAAAATGTACAAATTTTAGATAAGAAATGCAAGAATATTGAGAACATGTTACCAAAAACTCGACAAATTGCTCTGCCACGGCTCGGGCCACAACAAATCTTCACGAAAATCGTCGTAGATTCGTTTCCATTTTTTCTCGTTTTTCACAAAAGTATTTCGAAAATCTTCAAAGAAAAAAAGCTATGTTATCGATAATATTTAAGCCCAAGTGACTTGTCATTGACCAGAAGAATGTTTAAGTGTCACAAGTCATCAAACTTAAAATTCATAAAGTTTTACCTGTAGCAAAACGCCCCAAGTACTCTATGTAATTAGTGAGATGGTAAATGGCGAGCGGTATATTGATGGTGTTTATTGACTTGGAGCTGCTACCTAAAATCTGTGGAAGGGTCTATTTGCAAGAGAGAGAAACAAACTATTGAGGTGTACTAAAATTATATTTTATTATACATAAAACCCAAAAATTGAAATCAGCAAAATATCTTCCAATTCTGACAGCCTATTCTTCTAAATTCAATTACTTCACATCCTATTCCTAATAACTTAAAAGTTAACTCATTTCAACACTTCCGATTCATTCCTATTAACTACCCTTTACCTATTTATATAAATTCTTTAAAATTTCTAAGTCCTTAACTGACTGCTTATGAAAACCCAAAATAATTACCTATTTGTTTATCAATATAGGTATTACTAACTTATTCTTATAAAACCTTACAATAATTTCTACTTGAAAAATAAAAATCCTAATTCAAAATTCATTTCATGATCAACAACTTTCCATTATTTTAAGACAACAATTCTATTTCATGTACCTACATCAGTTTTCCTTTCAAAATTTCCTATTCCATTTGATAGTTTATTTAATCAGAACAAATTCTATTATAAGTTTCCTTTAACAACCTTCCATTATTTTAAGACAACAATTCTATTTCATGTACATCAAGTTTCTTTTCAAAATTTTCTATTCCATTTAATAGTTTATTTAATCAGAATAATTCTATTCTCGGATTCCTATGCCTAGCTAATAAACCCAACTGTTTAATTCATAATTCCTACTTAAATCGATACTTATTATGTTATGTTAGGTATATAAGTTCCATTCATATTTTCTTTTGCAAAATTAAATTAGAATGTCATTACATCTGAAGGCAATTGAAGTTATGCAATAATGTTCCATTTTCAAAACACTCGAGTTATTGATATTTATGCAATAAAGTTCCACAGTTAATTATAAAGTCAAAAGTTTTTCTAGTAAAAATCACTCTAGTTTTTAGGCATTGAAAGCCATTTGCTTATTCACTTCTTATCATTCAGAATCATTGATAAAAGTCAGAAAATTATTAAACACTAAAGTACCTACATTTAATTTTTGCACACGTTAAATTACTTAATTACTCAAAATTTTTAGCTAGCATGCACATAAGTGTTGACGAATTTAATTGTTCTTTCTTTCAAAATTTTTCCGCTACTTTCTCAAAGACTGTTACCGAGGCAATACAAGAAACTTTCCGGACTGACACTTTAGGTACTGTAGATTTTAACTCAAACTGGACAGGAATACGAACTCATCTCTCAACTGACAACTAACAACTAAAACCGCGGTATTTATATTAAATCGACCCCCCAGCAAAGTATTATTAATTATCCCCCAGAATCGTCAAAAGGCGGTCGTTTGACGATCAATCAGACAATCCCATTGGCGGATCTAAATATTATTAAAAATAATGATGCAGTTTCCTTGAAATTTTTATCATTTTAAGTTTAAAAAAATCGAATAATTATGTCGCAATATACTGATTTATCGGGGTCGAATATTTTAGGTTCAAGAATTCCATAAATCATCAAATTATTTACCCTGGCCTCGTTTTTATTATTTTTAAGAATTTCATTTAGATGATCGAATTACGTTAGCGTCAATTTGTTTCATTTTTAATTTATCGATATGGATTTGAGATATTGGAAATTCAGTTTTTGATTGTTTGATTAAATTTAATTTTTACAGTAAAGACATTGTAATTATCGGGTCTAATTTCTGGATCATTACATACCATTAAACGCCGGAAGTTCATCATCCATTCGACAAAGTTCATCCCAAGAGATTTGCGGCAGCCAAGCCTTACACTGATTCTCCAAAAGATTCTCAACAGCTATACCTCCAGTCAAAAAGAACATAAACTCTTGTTCGTTAAGCTTATTTTGAGAAATCATTATTTTCGAGCACAGCAAAAACGAAAACAGTAATTTGTCCTTTTCAAATAGCGATCTAGTGATGTTGTTGTACAAATCAAACGTGAAAGCGTTTATCAGACTCTGACAACGTTTCTCTATCATTCTGAATTTCTCGGCTTTCTGTATCGAAGTAATGTACAGGTTGATGAACCACTCCAACGAGTACTGGTACATCGGGTCTACATTAGCCAAATCCGAAATGCAATAGTACAAAACGGCCGAGTGATCGGCCACGCCTTGATATTTGACCCGGAACTCTTCGATCGATTTTTCGATTTGGAAAGACTTGACTTGCTTTTCGCGTATTTCGGCCGACAGGATTTTCGAATCGTCCAAAATCTGAATGGCAGTTTCGTCTTCCAAAATATCTCCTTTGGATTCGGACAAGGTTTTCAAGATTTTCTCTTCGGTATTTTCGAGGGCCGCCTTATTTTCAGCATTCTGGATGATTAGTTCTTCTTTTAGCTGTTGCAGTTCGGGTTTTTCAACCGCGACGACAATACCTAGGAGATTTTAGAGGCTGTTGTTGTATTCGAATGGAATGTATCATTCTCGGCATCTCCCGCTACCTCCAAAAAACCAATCAAAAATCAGCGTAGAAAATCAGCGAATACCAGCTAAGAAGTAGTAGTAATAGATAGCCGGTTCCGCATCCTCCGTCATCCGGGAGAGGTGATGTCATCTGTCACTGGTAAATCGCCTGACATCTGTTGATCAGCTGTCTACTGCCAAACACTTGTCAATCCATTACCTGTCATTCGCCATCTTGGTACAAAAGTCATGTGGTTTTACTGGTTTTGCACTTTTGAAGCTGATTTTTTCCTGGCCTAAACTGGTTTAGGAGGTACAGGGATAAAACACCATACTTAGGACCGGTTTATCAGTAAATAGTTATTTAGTTATCTAATAATTAATTATTGATAGCTAACCGACAGCTAAACCACAGAATACCAAACAATCAAAAGAAATACAGGAAGAGATATCCGATTTGCTTTTTTATGAACTTCAACCGGGCTAAAGCGGCAGAAATATCAGGGGCGCACTGGTTAAACCCCCTTCCGCCGACATTTAACATCAAGAATAACTGATAAGCTACCACTGAACATCTATCCGCCGTTGCCCCAAGGGGCGTGGCTTCCTCCGTGACCATCGAATCTCTCTTCTGATTATTTGTTATTCTGTGGCTGAACTAAATAACCATCAGCTGATAAACCGGTCCTTAATGAATCAAAAATTCCTACCCAACAACTGATCTTGCAATCCAGACAGTGTCAAAGCAAAGTTGATTATTGTAACTCTATTGAAGACTTCTGGTAAATAGTGAGGATTTCTGAGTTTTGAGGTCAAATATAATCTAAAAAGCTTACAACATTAGACATTATGTCATTATTGTCATGTATAGGCCCTGTGATTGGTTACATACAGATAAAAATGGCATTATCTGTCAAATTCTGGAAAAGATATTACCTGAAATTTTTATTATACTCGATAACGTCCTCTCCGACACTAATGACCTCTATACCAGCCTGCTTGTAAGTTTTCTTGTAAAGTAAAGGGTCTACGGCGGCTTCGATTTCTTCTCCTACACTTTCCACCTGTCAATGCAGTAACATTATAATAATAACTTCATGGAACTACTAAGATCTCAGGTTACTCCGTTACAAATTAGAAAAGATATTGAAAACCCACTTTGGCAAGTGTTTAAAAAATAAGAACATCATGGGACATTTGAATTTTTGTTTAGAATTCCAATAGAGATGAGGATTTTAAGCTTTTCCAGCTTTTAGAAGAAGGTTAGACATGTCTTATACTAAGATCTCAAGTTACTCCGTTACAAATTAGAAAAGATATCGAAAATCCACTTTGGTAAGCGTTTAAAAGATAAGAACATCATAAGACATTTGAATTTTTATTTCAAATTCCGATAGAGATGAAGATTTGAAACCTTTCCAGCATTTAGAAGGAGGTTAGACATGTTTTATACTAAGATCTCGAGTTACTTCGTTACAAATTAAAAAAGATATCGAAAATCAATTTTGGCAAGCGTTAAAAAGATAAGAAGAGACATGAGACATTTGAATTTTTGTTTCAAATTCCGATAGAGAAAAAAATTTGGAACTTTTCCAACCATTAGAAGATCTCAAGTTACTCCGTTACAAATTAGGAATGATATCGAAAATCCACTTTGGCAAGAGTTTAAAAGATAAGAACATCATGAGACATTTGAATTTTTGTTTCAAATTCCGATAGAGATAAAGATTTGAAACTTTTCCAGCCTTTAGAAGAAGGTTAGACATGTCTTATAATAAGATCTCAAGTTACTTCGTTACAAATTAAAAAAGATATCGAAAATCAACTTTGGCAAGCGTTTAAAAGATAAGAATATCATGAGACATTTGAATTTTTGTTCCAAATTCCGATAGAGATAAAGATTTGAAACTTTTCCAGCTTTTAGAAGAAGGTTAGACATGTCTTATACTAAGATCTCAAGTTACTTCGTTACAAATTAGAAAAGATATCGAAAATCCACTTTGGCAAGTGTTTAAAAGATAAGAACATCATGAGACATTTGAATTTTTGTTTCAAATTTCGATAGAGATAAAGATTTGAAACTTTTCCAGCCTTTAGAAGGAGGTTAGACATGTCTTATACTAAGATCTCGAGTTACTTCGTTACAAATTAAAAAAGATATCGAAAATCAACTTTGGCAAGCGTTAAAAAGATAAGAAGAGACATGAGACATTTGAATTTTTGTTTCAAATTCCGATAGAGAAAAAAATTTGGAACTTTTCCAACCATTAGAAGATCTCAAGTTACTCCGTTACAAATTAGGAATGATATCGAAAATCCACTTTGGCAAGAGTTTAAAAGATAAGAACATCATGAGACATTTGAATTTTTGTTCCAAATTCCGATAGAGATAAAGATTTGAAACTTTTCCAGCTTTTAGAAGAAGGTTAGACATGTCTTATAATAAGATCTCAAGTTACTTCGTTACAAATTAAAAAAGATATCGAAAATCAACTTTGGCAAGCGTTTAAAAGATAAGAACATCAAGGGACATTTGAATTTTTGTTTCAAATTTCGATAGAGATAAAGATTTGAAACTTTTCCAGCTTTTAGAAGAAGGTTAGACATGTCCTATACTAAGATCTCAAGTTACTCCGTTACAAATTAGAAAATATATCGAAAATCAACTTTGGTAAGCATTTAAGAGATAAGAACATCATAAGACATTTGAATTTTTGTTTCAAATTTCGCTAGAGATAAAGATTTTAAACTTTTCCAGCCTTTAAAAAATGGTTAGACATGTCTTATGGAAGATTGTGTGAGATACTTACAAGTACTGGATATCCAAGTTGAACGCACATTTCGATTTTCTTCATGTAATCGGAAAAGGTAAATTTAACGATTTCCAGGTTGTTGATTTTTTCCATTTTCTTGATCCAGTTGCTCGCTTGAGCCTGTGGATCGATGAACAAAGACCATCTCCTCGAGTTGTCCATGATAATACCATTCTCTGTGGAAAAACTGTCCCTAGGCAATCCGCTGATATACCACTGCTGAATCCTGACGTCCGATCCTAAAATGTCGACCATTTCGAATTGTTCCGCGGTCGGTATGTTCAATTTTTTCACGAATTCGTGCCAATCCAGCACAATCCTGCTACGATAAATGCTGTTGAATGCGGACAAATAGGAAATAATACCGCAAGATATTAGAATATCACCGGCAAGACCGTCGTATTGTTTTTGTAAATTCTCGGCACAAGCAGTCCAACGAGTTCTTTCACCACCTAAAAATAATTGAGAAATAAGAGACAATAAAGGGCTTGTTTGTTGTAGGTACCTAATCCTCCGATAAGTTTCTTGGCTCTTATCAATTTGTTGTTGCACAAATCCACGCTGTCCTGTAACTCCTTCTGTTTTTTAACTGCCTCATCTAGTTTGGAGTTTAACTCGGACAATTGTTTCTCCAGCCTTTGAACCTCAGTACGTTTAGCCGTCAACAGCGTCATAGTTTCAGCAAACTCTTTTTCCGCTTTTTCTAGCTTCGCCTTTTTGGGCGCCACAATCTTATAGACTTTATCGTACATGTCCATTGCTGAATTTTGAAAAATAAATCATTCATAATTCTCAATTAGCGAGCGATCTTGCCTATAATCCATTTGCAGAGTCCCTCAGCTGCACTGCTAGCCTTGGCAACAATGTGCGGCTTGAAATCCTTATGAACCACGTACTCCTTACGGATCTTGGACATTATTTCGGGTTTGATGTTGTCCTTGTCGAAATCTTTTAGGCCTTGAAGGAAGTTCATTTCACCCAATAATCTGAAACAAGCTATGAACTTAGCTCGACCACAGAATAACAAACAATCAGAAAGAGAGATCCGATGGAAGAATCCACGCCCCTTGGTAGCGCGTCACCATTCCTGTCGGCGGAAGTGGGGTTTTACCAGTGTGCGCCCCTGATATTTCCGCCGTTAGCCCGGTTCGAGATTATAGAAAAGCAAATCGGAATCGGATATCTCTTCCTGTATTCCTTTTGATTGTTTATTATTGTGACTCAACCTTACTTTACGCTGGGTTTCCAATAATCTAAAATAATCCGTCCAGTACCCGGATCCGGTACCCTATCAGGTTTGAGACCTTTTATAATACAAACCGCGGCCATTACCAGTTTAATTATCTCCGGTGGATTTTTCATAGATTTCACCAAAGTTATGTCAGCCGGCTTCAAAGTATCCAAAGCCGAAATGGCTTCGTTCAAAATCGGCATTGCTTCAGCTAAGTCGGCTTCACATTCTTGTTTCAAAGTTTGAGATGCAGCCGCTTGTTTATTGGCAACCTAGAATTTACTCCTTAATGCTTGAATCATTATATTATATTTAGTTACTTTTTCATCTTGTCGTACTACAGCCGATATTTTCTCGACAGTTAAAGTCTCTTTTTCGATTTGGTTCAACATTTCCGTCGCCTTTTCGCTCATTTCTTTCAGCTGAGGCTGCAACTCTCCCAATGACTTTTGCATTTCTCCGATACTGACTGAGGCATGGTAAAGTTTCTCTAAACCGCCCAAATAACGGTTTTTAGCCGCCATTATTTCGGTTTGTTTTTTATTGGTCAACAGCGTAAAAGATCTTATAAGTTCCAGATACGAAGCGGAGGTAACGTAGGTGCGACGTCCGGTTTTTTCGTAGAACTCTTTTGAATTTTTCGTAGCTTCCACGTGGAAATATTGACAAGCATTCTAGAAGAGAATTCAATGTTATAACTGAAAAATTTAGATCTGAAGACTCGCTAATAGAGAGTAAAAATTCCTACCACTGCTACTGCCTTAATCTCATTCGGAAGATTAATTTCGACCATCCAAGCATTAGCAACTTCAACCAGCGACTCTTCTGGCCACAATTCGAACCAATCAATAGTGCAACAGTTAATTAGGGACGGATAAAGCCTCAATCGGTTTCGGAACGTCGACCCGACCGGGCTAAAGCACAAGATAATGTGCAATTTTTCTTTGCATCGTTTCGTGAAGAAAAAGAAGACTTCCAATGGGCTAATTTCCAGGTTTCTGTTGCCGCCTTGCGCCGCCAACCTCACCATGTCCAAAATTTCTTGTTTTTCGTCGATTTGATAAATATTGGGCACTTCTCCCAAGTTCAATAGGCAATCGACGTCTTGCAGGAAGCTCTCCATTTTGATTTGGCTCTCTGTTATAAGGAAAACGCTGTGTTTGCCTCTTCCGCCAGATTCTTTGAGGATTTTCTTGATATCCTCCCTCCAATCGTTTATTGTGTAGTTGTTGGTTATTTCTGGCTGAAAGAGGCTGTGCCCGTAAATTTCGCTAGCCAAACGGGTAAGGGATTGACGACCAGAACCACTCAAACCCACCTAAAAAGATTATTGATTTCATCAGAACAATAGTTTCAAAAGCGTGATTCTTACAAGCAAACCGCTACCGCAATTCATCGACAGCACCCTACAAATCTTGGATAAGTGCTCCAGAGCGTAATCGAACAAAATTATATCCATCTTCGTCTTGTGGGTGGCGTTGTACTCATCCAAACAATTCTGGCTGAGATGCCTGAAAGCCTCCAAATCGACCACTTCGTCGTATCGCTTGTCTTCTTCGGACTCTTGATCGAAATACGTGCCGAACATTAAGTTTTTTATCGAATCTTCTCGAACGAATCCTAAAAAAATCGAATGAGTATTGGACTCTGATGAAGGTTGCACAAAAATTAAATTTGAGCAATCGTAACCAGAGGTAAGTTATGGAGAAAGGTGGGGAATTGGATTGGAGTTCAAAATCTAGGTTACGAGCAATGTGGGCAGGTTCTTGAAAATCTCGTGTAAGATGGAAGTAATTTCCATTTTTTATTTTCTATCTCAAATGATTTGATACGGAAGTCATCAGAGGTATATCTGTGGTTCAAATCTTTGCATGTGAATTAAAAATTAAAATAATTTGCAATGGTTTACAAGTAAGTATTTTGATAGAAATTGTTACCGTTTTCGTCTCGTGGATAATTATCGAAAACTTGCTCGAAAAAGTCTCTGAAGTTGTCTTTGACGCAATTTCTCAATTTTTCGAAAACCCATTTCTTGTCTTGCGGTTCTATGAGGCGATCGTAAAATACTCTCAGGACCTCGTGAACCCAAATTCTCGAAAATGTTTTCTTCGTTTCTGCCGATTCTTTTCGTAACATCGCACAGCCTGGAAAATAATAAGTTTCACTATTTTAACGACTTAAAAGAATTCAGTGCCTTGTACTAATCTCGAAAAATCCCTCAAATTAAATACATAATGACTCTTCGAAGGTGTGGGCCTCAAATTAATAATGGCGTCCTTATAAATATCCAAACTTGCCGAAACAGTTTGGTTAACAACCGCTACGATTTCTGCTGGAAACCCGTTATTTTTCCAACCTAATAGTAGAATGTTCGAGTAAATTTTTGACATGCTTTCCTCGCTGAATTCGTTTATGGAAAATATGCTAAAATGTCTCAGGAATCGAGGATACACATCTTGCCTGCTTCCGCCCACTAAACCCATGGCTCCGAGGAAAAGGACGTCGTGGAGGTAAATCGGTTCGGTGTTTTTGAGGTCATACCAATTTTTGTGATCGAAATATTGCCTGAAAGCAGAAAAACCCTATTCGAAGATGATGGTTATAACAAGACCGATCTCATTTGAACAGCATCAGCACAAGCTGAAAAAAAGAAGATAGGGACTTTATCCCCACATTTATATTTGTTGCTGCTAAAATTACAATCGGCCTTTAAAATCATTGTACCTCAATAATTCCAATGGAGGTTGAGCCCCGTACTGTTCTTTAAAAGGCATATTGACATCGTCAATAAAGAGAACTGCAGTTTTCCCCTTTTGAGCCCCATAATGACCGCGTTTGCGTTTATTCAATTTCGAAATCACTAGCTCTTGCGTTTGATTACAAGTAATCTGAACGGTAAAGGTGATAAATCCTGGCTCAAAATTTTCCTTATCTAGCCGGTTCATTAGGATGTCTTGGGTGTAGAAGCTTTTTCCGGTACCAGTAGGACCGACAAGTAATAGACGTCTTTTGTAACGAATGTGAAGATCTATTAGAGCCATGTACCTAGCAGTATCCACCGTTGGCACTAAGGCTTGCAAAATATTTTTACACTCATCAACGCGTTCGGACCGAACTATATCGGGCCAATATTTCCAATTTCCTTTCATCCTGTAATTGTAAGTGTAATCGAACAAAATACCTTCGGTAGGAATACTAATTTCCATTTTGGGAAAGTGCTCAGAATAAGGGTATTGTTCGTTGAGGCCTCGCCACATTTGTTTGTAAAACTCGTCAAACATTTCCCTAGAATTGGCGTCGAGGATTGAAGCTATACCCCAAACCTAATAATTTATGGCAAATGAGATATCGCTTATAAATTGCAAGCTCCTTACTCCAGCCTGTATAAAACTGGCCTGAATCCAAATATACATATTTTTGAATTCCTCCTCTTTTTTGACGGCTCCGGCGCACGCGTCATCGAGATACATTTCAACCATCGATATGAAATTCTTCACCAAGCTTATTTCGCCGGGATTACAAAACTGCGTGCAATGGATCCGTATGAAATTCAAACAAGGCGGTACCAGCCAATCGATCAGATCGCTAACGTACTGCATTTGAACGCCCGAACACCATTCTTGATTGCAGTCAGGTAGCCAAGAATCGACGAAAGGTCTCCAGCCTAGCGTTTCAGGTTGCATATAGATCATACCGCATCTTGAGACCTGTAAATCTCAGATTATTCATGAATAATTCTTGCACAATCTATTAAAACCTACTGTAGCTGGTGAAGCTTGTTCCAAATCCATAGCCTCAAAAATCAACGACATACAATTCGTCATGACCATAACTTCTCCGGACATGAGACACAGTTTTTTGTTATCGTCCAAGGCGCTGTTCATGTTTTCGATCCAGACTGCATCGACCGGGCCATCGAAAATAATCCATTTCCTGTCCAGACCAGTGTCGGTAGAGAAATTCCTAAACCCAGTGGCCACTACCCCGTCAGTCCACTCGTACGAAATCGGATCGAACTGTCCGTACAACTGACCCATTGTTATCGATTTGGGATTGAGTATAAGATATTCAACCTAAGAAAAAAACAACCAAAATCATGGTCATAGGCGCAACTAGGGGGGTGCTTGGGGGTGCTTAGCACCCCTAAAGCAAAAATTAGCACTCCTATTCGGCATCCCACCATAGCACCAAATAGCAACCAAATTATTTTATTTTTTTTGCAGTTTTTGTACTTACTTACGCCATCGATGACGTCATAATTTAGAAAAAAGTATTTGTCGTTGATTAATTCATAGAGCACGTTGGCAATTATTACTGTTATGGAACAAAATTTTTCAACCGGGGCCGGTATTACAATATTACCTTAAAATCAAGACTTACCCTAAAGTATTATATATATGTTTGTTTGAAATTTCAGACATGAAAAAACCTATTTTTCAGAAAAAAGGCAAATGATGACGTAAGTACAAACCCTCGTGAAACTAACTTTTTTTACGCGTCACATTTCCTTTCCATCAAACCCCATCAAAAAAAAAAAAAAAAAAAAAGGTGCTGCAGCACCCCTCAAATTTGGAGCCTAATTGCGCTTATGATCATGGTTCTAGTTTAAGTCCCGTTGGTACCTTTTCTTCATCGTATCCTTGTTTATTCAGTAACGTCAAAGTATCAGCGAGTACTTGTAAAGTACTAGTTTTGCCAGCAAATGGGTACCCGACAAGCATAAACCCGTGCCTTACAATCATCATTTCGTAGGTTTGTACCATTTTAACGAGGAAACTATCTTTGGGCTGAAGCTGTCGTTTTTGCGCGCACAGTTTCATTGCCCTGTGCATCAAGCTGTAGTCGGCTTCAGGCAATATTACGCCTGGAAACAAATCGGATATTATACCGTCGAACAACGGCAAGTCGTGGTTGAGAAATTTGGGCAAGTTGATTTCTAGGATGGCGCGTAGCAAGAGGATGTCTTCGTCCTTGTCCGGCTCTTTACGTTTTATATTACCGGCAGCAGAGAGAACAGACTTTACTGCTCTCATACCTAAAATAAGCAATAAAGTAAATCGTTTTACATCAAGAAGTTCGTTTACCGTAATCGTAATGATTTTGTGATGACAATTGCTCGGAACAAAGCCGATAGGTCGTCACAATTTTCACTGATAAATTCCTGGCATCCACAAAACCATACGAATAAAGGGATATTTCTCCGATCATAGCGTAATCTGGTACCATCATTGCAACTGTACGAAATAGTACCTTTAAACAAGAGCGATATTAACATCAACTAGTGAATAATCCAAGATAGCTACCTTTAAATTATCAGGTAGCTCGGTTCTTCCAGCATATCCGGGATTCATGGTAATACAAACGTAGCAGGTTGGGTTCAGTAATATTTCCGTGCCTTCAAAGTTAAATTTCGGTACGTGCGCCCTTACTGCCATAATTATCGACAATATTTGCTGGGCAACTACCGACAACACTTCTATGTCTATTCGGTTGAACTCGTCAAAGCATGCCCAAGCACCACAAGAAGCCAGACCTGAAAAATGCATAAAATGCAAACTCAAACACAAGAAGAGATCAGTACCTTTGAAAAACTTCCCCATAGCCTTATAATCCAACCCATCAGAACAATTAAACACCACGCATTGGACAGCAATAGCCTTGGCCAAATCTTTACAAGTTTCAGTTTTGCCCGTTCCAGCTGGTCCTTCTGGAGCTCCATTTAAATGCAAATGGTAGGCTCCTATCAGAGTGCGGTAGCACCGGTCGGTTAAAGGGGTTATGACCAATCTATCCGAGTTACCTAGAAGCAAGATCCTTTCACTCTTATTGGTGTATATAATCCATCACTTACCCAAATATTCATAAGCATACTTGACGGTTGCGTTGACTAGTCTAACCGAGGCTTCATCATCTTCCAAATAGTACCTCATCTGAGCCAGCCACTTAAACTCTCTGTCGTGTTGGACTTTTTTTGTCAGCAACTCTTCCACTACATCCTTAGCATGGACATCGATTACTATTAATGCCTGGAAAATTGGACATATTTATGTTTTCTGGGAGGCCATTGTAGTTCAATATACCAAATATACCAAAAATGTACAGGTTTTTAATTTATAGAAGTCATTAAGATTTAAATATCTGTAGCAAAACGCCCCAAGTACTCTATGTAAAAAGTTAGATGGTAAATGGCGAGCGGTATATTGAAGGTGTTATTATATACTTGGAGCTGCTATCTAAAAGCTGTGGAAGGGTCTATTTGCAAGAGAGAGAAACAAACTATTGAGGTGTACTAAAATTATATTTTACTATACATAAAACCCAAAAATTAAAATCAACAAAATATCTCCCAACTCTGACAGCCTCATCTATTTTTCAATAATTCATTTACTTCACATCCGTTCAAAATGTTATTATTACGGACCACTGAAATATCCCTACTATTATAAATAAGAAACGCACAATTTCTCATAACTTAACTCATTTCAATACTTCCTACTCATTCCTAATAAACTAGCCTCTACCTAATTATATAAATTCTTTAAAATCTCTAATGACCGTTTCCACCAACTCTTTTAGGGGAGCCCTAACGATAAGTGTTCCCTAAACTGACATTTCTCCATGTAAAAATGTCAAATTAGGGAATACTTATCGTTAGGGCTCCCCTAAAATAGTTGGTGGAAACGGCCATAAGTCCTTTACTGATTACTTAGGAAAACCCAAAATAATTACCTATTTGCTTATCAATATAGGTATTAAAACCTTACAATAATTTCTACTTGAAAGATAAGAACCCTAATTCAAAATTCATTTCATGAACAACAACTTTCCCATATTTTAAGACAATTCTATTTTATGAACATCAAGATTACCTATTCCATTTAATAGTTTATTTAATTAGAACAAATTCGATTATAAGTTTCCTTTAACAACTTTCCATTATTTTAAGACAACAATTCTATTTCATGTACATCAGTTTTCCTTTCAAAATTCCCTATTCCATTTGATAGTTTATTTAATCAGAACAATTTTTCGGATTCCTATGCCTAGCTAATAAATTCAACTGTTTAATTCATAATTCCAACTCAAAATTGTATATTGTTAAATGCATTATAAGTTCCCTTCATATTTTTCTTTGCACAATTAAATTAGAATGTCATTATATCTGAAGGCAATTAAAGTTATGCAATAATGTTCCATTTTCAAAACACTCGAGTTATTGATATTTATGCAATAAAGTTCCCCAGTTAATTATAAAGTCAAAAGTTTTTCTAGTAACAAATCACTCAAGTTTTTACGCATTAAAAGTCATTGTTAATTCACTTCTTATCATTCAGAATCATTGATAAAAGTCAGATAGTTTTACTAGTCAAAATCACTCAAGTTTAGGCATTAAAATTCAAAGTTTAATCACACATACTCACTATAGAGTACTTACATTTTGTCCATTAAACACAAAACTAATCTAAATTAATTCTTTTGATTACTTAATTTAATTTACGCACATAATTGTTGAACGAATTTCAAATGTTATTTCTTCCGCGATTTTTCGTACTTTTACTAACTTAGATTAAACCCGAGGCCATACGCCAAAAAAAGAAACTTTTTGCGAAACCGGACAGACTTTAACTCAAACTGGACAGGACTGCGAACTCATCTCTCAACAACTAACTAGCAACTCAACTGCTATCTGGCAACTAACTCTAACAACTAAAAACGCGGTATTTATATCTTTTGTTTTCCCTCCGAAATTTTTGTGTCCATGACAATTAAGATGATGCAATTTCCTTGACATTTATATAATTTTTAGTCTAAAATCGATTAATTATGTCGTAATATTCTGATTTATTGAGGTGAAAACGTTATGGGTTCATTAATGCCATAAATCATTCAATTTAATTAGGTACAGTGAGATTCATTGCAATTGGCACACACACTTTAAAATCCCTCGTATTAAGTCAAAATTCTAACCAATAAATCTATTTAGTGCAGCATTTTGCTATTACTGTGTGTCAGATTTGACACATTACGAGGGATATTTATATAGTGTGTGCCAATTGCAATGATTCCCACTGGACGCGATGCTAACAAAAAATTTCATTGATCGGATGTTAGTGATGTCATCACCTTGTCCTCGTTTTCATCATTTTTAAGAAATCAATTTAGATGATGACTTGGCGGGGTGTCGCAATACATTAGCGTTAATTTGTTTCACTTTTAAATTATCGATACAGATTTAGAAATACTGGAAATAAGTTTTTGATTATTTGATAAAATTTAATTTTTACAGTAAAGACTTTGTAATTATCGGGTCAAATTTCTGGATCATTACATATCCATAAGGTTTATATAAGTTTACGGATGGTTCTAGATAAGGCAATTTATGCATACATTTGATAATCTTGTTTTGCATAATTTGTAATGGTTTCAAATGCGAGAAATTTGTAGATCCGTGGGAGCTGGATATTGTTTGATAAAATCACAAAAGGCCCAAGATTCCCTAACGAAGTAATAATTTTTTACCTTTATAGTTATCCTTGATAAATTCGATAAACTCGGGTCCCGAATCAATGCAACTATATCAGTAAGCGATCGCTGTAAAGTATCGAAAAGTGCGCTAACAGTAAAGTTGTCTTCGTTGCTTAAAGCTTTGTGAACATTTAAGGTCCAGTGCGTTTGTGAGACGCATAGTATCACTTGTCCAGGCCATCTTTGAACCTAGAAAAGTTTAGTAGGTATGTAGCCAATTTACTGAACAAGTTAATATCTTACCCATTGTGTTCTGGGCATCAAAAAATAGCTTTTGTAACTCTTCAATATTTGATCTCTGACTGATATCACCATTTGTTCTTCGACTTGCACCAGCCATTTTTCAACGCTCCCGCCTGCTTCTTTGGTGTTCACTTGCGCTCTAAAGTTGACTTTTTCGCTTTCCTGACTATACATGGCCAAAATTTCAAGTTGTTCGGTGAAATGTAGCTTGTAAATGGCTTCGAAGCATTTTTTCAAATGAGGTTGTACTCTAAGAGGATCTTTGGTTTCCGAGAGGATTTCCAGCATTTCGTCGTTGGATAAAAAGAAAAACCTCAATGAAAGACATCAGATGTAGTAGGGATTATTGCCTGCAATGAATGCGTACCTTGGAAAATACAATCTCTTCTTTTCCAAATATGCTGTAACGCCTTCATTAATTTTCTCCAATAATTCATTGCAATGTTGCATAATTTCGTAAACACCTTCTGCTCCAGCTACTACAAAAACTCTGGGATCTCTTAAAACAACATCCATGTATCGTTTATAGGTATCATTGACCTGAAATAAAAATAACATTGTTATTGGTTGTCATCCATTTCCATTGTAAACTATGCCGTTACTTCTTTGAACAAAGCTCCTTCTTCAGGCATTTGTGCTACAATATCTTTGGAAGAGAAAATTGGCAGTAAATAGAGCCATTGAGATTGCACTTGGCCCCATTCCTCAATGGTCAAGTTGATTCTTACTAATTTGTCGTAGAAGGCTCTTACTTCAGTCTCGTACGGTTTAACAAATATCGAACCTCTCATTGTGAGAGCTTTAAGAATATGATCATCCAGAATCACCTTGAAAATTTAGTCAAAGGAATAATTGATAATTATTATTGAATTCTATACCTGTATGTCATCTAGTGCAGTCAAAATCGTAACTCCACTATCTTTGAACTGTCCAGTTTTAAAATAAATATCGTCCCATTCCTTTTGCATTTTAACCAAATTCCTATAGAGCTCCCTCTCTTTTGTCGCTCCTGAACTGATTACGTCGTAATTATCCAAATCCGGTTCAAGGCCCATTTGCGTTAGCTTGCGCAACGAAGTACCGGCATTGGGGGTCAAGTCAAAACCGGCAATCAACGACATTTCTTTCCAGTGTCTTCGCACCAGCGCATCGTTGCATATGATGCGCATCAACGTCATAGCGGGACGGAAATCTTTTATTCGTTGTATGCCGCGAGCGGTCAGTTTCAATGGGGAAGGCCAAGCGAATAAGTCGGGATCGTCGAGGGCACCGAAAAATCGGACGGGAGCATTATCAACTGCAGCCTGTCTTAGTTTCATTCGATATGTTTTCTGTATCTTCATCAACTCCTTCATGTACTCGTCAATTTTTTGTTCCGCTTCGTCAAAAAATAGGAACTCAAAAGGACCATCCAACCAAACATTAATGTGCCGCTTAATATTCATACAAACTTTGATCAAATGGAAAAAAGGATACATCCAATTTTCAACATCTTCGACATTTTTAAAGGGTGTAATATTAAAGCCCAAACATTTTTGTTCCTTGGAAATCCAAGTGATTTTCTCTCTTAGGTCTCGCAACACTACTAAATGCACTTTTATTTGATCGACGTACTCCCTGCACCGTTCAAAATCGTCCATTTCGTCCAAACTGCCCAACATTGGTATAAGTTTCTCGATCCGCTCGTTAACGTTCCGAATTGTGGCTTGCAGTCGTTCTTCGTACTCGAACTTGATTTGTTCGTACATGCTGGCGTTTACATCCAAAACTGGCTCGATTTTTTTTATCCACTGTATAGTTTTCGAATTTAATTCCATATGCTCTTCGGTTAAAGTGCCAAATTCCACCAGGTCTGTTAAGTTGTAGAGCATGTTTTGGATTCGCTGTTTTAGTTCGACGAGGAGGACTGTTCTGGCCCAAACCATGTATTTACCTTTCGGATGGAAGATCATAGAGGGTCAATGCCAAAAGTGCATTATTCGAAAATGTCTCAAGATGAAACCACTCTTCTAAAGTTTTCTTTCCATAGTTTTTGTTGTATATTAACGTTGCTAACAGTGAATTTTAACAACCACTTAAAGAAACATTTAGAAGGCGATTTATTCCTCAACCATTATTATACCTTGTTCAATAAGATCTTCACTAGTGGACGGTTTCGTCAGAGCATACTCCTTCAAATTCTCAAAATCTTTACAAATCAGTTCGTCTTCCATCATATGAAGCTGGCACAGCTCGGTGAAAACTTTGTCGATGATAAGGGACAACGACTCTTTCATGGTAATAACGTATTCGGACAAGATTAGTTGACCTACCGCAAAGTATTCGCTGCTGAGCATGCTGCTGGCCTTTTTGATGTAGTTTTGATAGTGGCGGATTTGTTCACAGCCGTAATTGAAACGCGCTAAAGCGTCTGATGATGTACTGCCTCCTTCAGAAACGCTACCTAATAGGAGAAACATAATGCAGACTTAGAAATCATGGATGTTAAATAATAGGGAAGCGAAATATCGATCATTAAGCAAGTATCCAGTTGAATCTTTGAAAATAATTTAATAGAAACTAACTTTGTACTCGAGATGACATGAACCGAAACTTTTAGGAACACCTGTTACGATAAGTGGGGTTCAGGTAGAGAGAAACTCGCTTGGTATTAGCCTATCCAAAACACGTGACTTTGACAAGCAAACAAAGGATTTGTGTGCCTCTTGACGGACATTTCAAATAAAGATTAACAGCACCTTGGTTAGTCGCCCATCCAAAACCATGTGAATTGTGTGCCTCTTGGCGGACATTTTTATTTAGGTTTGACAGAGTCTAGGGAATTGGGTTCTAAAAAGGTCTCTTCTTTAGCAGCGGCTGAACAGGCAAGTCGATTTTCATTTTTGTAATTTTTTTTTTCTTCAGATTTCTAGATTTTCCCTTAATATTTTCCGTTCTATTTCACCATCAGTGTCGGTCTATTATCACTGTTGGGTTTTTATTACCTGATAAATCTTATCTTATCTACCTTCAAAATATAAATATTATATTTTAATTTTAGTTTTTTATCTATTGTGAGCTTCCATTTTGTGATTGGGTGCCACGTTTTTCTGAATAGAGTCAGTTCAGAGTTTTGGCTGATGAATAGGTATTGCTGCTTTGGTATTCGGAATCAATTGTTAGTGTCGGTGGAAACCAAATTTGTGTGTCCATCCCTATCAACACTTTGCCTAATCCTGAGGCCTCATTATCTTCTCGAGGAAGGAGAGTGCTGTAAGGGTGAAATTTTAGGATAGAAATCCGCATAGGTTGAAATCTATTTAAAAAGTTTTAGTTAAAACATCTCAAGAATTTCGACAAATCCTGGATTTAATTTATTTCACCCTCAACTTTATCTTGTAGTACCAATGTAGAAAGGTACATTAACTAAAAAGGAAAATTTATCTATTTGGGGAAAATCTAGATTGATTCGTCGCATTCTGCTCAATTATAACGAGCATTTATTTTTATCTCTAATCTTGCTGTATACCCACTTACTTAATTATTACTACTTTTTTTTTTCAAGTTATTTAATTGTTTTTCTATAAAAATATAAAATTTTCTATACCTATTGCAATAGTTTACTTGGGGCCATATTCTCCGTAGTTCATAAAGCCTGGCTTAGTGGAAACGCTTGGCTTTTTGTGTGACAAAGCCGAGCTTTTCCACTAAGCCAGGCTTTATGAACTACGGAGAATATGGCCCTTAGTAATGCCTGATTCTGTTGGAGGGTAGTGTCTGCAATTCAATAATAATTTTATTACCAACTAATTTCAATTTGAATCTTCTTTGCAAGACACTTGCTTTTTGACAGAATTCAGGGATTTAACATTCCAAACCTGATACTGCTTTATTCTTTTTTGGGTACCTATTCGACACAAAGATCACTATTCGGAGTTTATATCAGCCGAAGTGACGTTATACCAGCAGTCTAACCTCTTTCCTAAATAAAGGAAAAAACTTGAAGAGCTCCGGATTGGAAAAGGTACAAAAACGTATCAGTGTCACCAGAACAACCAAGCTGTTAACTGTCAAATTGTAAAAGGTAACTTGTTACTTACATTGTCAAAATAAAATTATTGTTTGTTGGATTTTGAGTGGTTTCATTTGCACATAGAGGGGCTACACGTTTTATTATTTATTTTTGAATTCCACGACCCTATAGGTTTTCTTGCTCTAAATTACAAATAATTATCTTTATTTATAACAAAATAATGTCGGGTTTTATAGAGTCACTTCTTATATTCACTGAGATATGATCAAGAGCATCACTCTTCAACCCGATGAAATTTTGGTGAGCTTTGACGTCATAGCCTTGGGTTACTTGAAATGGGGAATCAATAACTTGTTCCATCACTGTCTGACCACTACTTACTTTCAATACCAACGAATTCTTTGGACAGACAGATGGAGTTGCAATGGAGAGTCCACTCAGCCAGGTGATCGCAAACTTCTACATGGAACTCATTGAACAACTGACACTAGAGTTGACCACAAAGAAACCTACTTGTTGGTTCCGTTATGTAGATGACACTTTTGTTGTTTGGAACCATGGACAGGCAGAAAAACTTTCTTGGTCATCTGAACTCCATCGACCCCAGCATCCAGTTTACAATGGAAGTTGAGAGGGATAACAAAATTGCATTGCTACACAGTGTGAGTCGACTCATACGGACAGATACTTCACCATCCCAGGCAAAAGAGAGGAATCATCAAAACTCTTTCTGACAGGCCAATTCAGGATTTGTGAAACTTATTCCGGATTTGTGGAACTAGATATGTCCAGGATGAGATGCAACATCTAAAGTAAGCACTAGAAGGGAATGGCTACTCCAAGCCGGAAAAAGATAGAGAAATGCGGCCAAAACAACAACGTACAGACAAGGAACCAGTACACATGGCAGGAAGAGCTATTCTTCCCTACATTAAAAATGTCACTGATTGCATAGGACGGATGTTAGAAAAATACACTATTAAACCGATCTACAAACCTACAAAAACTGTTCAACAAAGCCAAGGATCCTAGGGAACCCCTCGAAACGGCTGTGCCTATAGAATTCACTACTCTTGGGGATCAGTTTACGTGGGAACAACCAAACGCAGTATTAACACCAGAGCATAAAAGAAACTGCCAACAGGGACGAACAGAAAAATCAGCAACTTCCGAACCCACATTAAGACAAAAAGACCATGTCATCATTGATCGGGTTTATAAGTTATTCCTGTGATTCCTGGTAGTATCCGAACGCGAATCTATGAAGTAAAAGAATTTAATAGAAACAGAAATAAATATATTCGTACTCGAAAGGCCATGACCGAAAATTTTAGGAGCAGCTGCAAATATTGTCGGATTTTATATATTCACGAAGAAGGGAATTTCTAATATCGTGATAACCGAGGACAAAAATGACGCAAAGAATCGAGTAAAATCCCTACCACTGTAGCCATCCTAGTAAAAAGCAGTAACTCAATAAATCCGCTCACCAACTACCATCGTTAACAGTGATACTGGGCCGAGATAGGGCGTTACAAACCTACCAAAGTCGAGTTCTAATGCCAACGTTAAGTTCAAATTAAATCCAAGACAGAGAGGCTCGATTTTCAAGCGTTGGGTATGACTCAAGTCCAAGACAATTTTGTTCCAGTAATCATTCCTTTTGAAACGGTTGATTAGTTGGTGAACAGGAAGAAAAAAAGTCAAGTGCCAATCATAACCAGTTCAATAATGCACTAGGTATGCCAGATTATGTTTGAGTATTTGAAAACCGGATTACTATTCCTATGAATTATGCCCTGCTTCTTTAGATAATGGGGAAATTTGAGACTGATTTTATCGTAACTAACTTTCAATACTTGCTTCATCTTATGCGTATGCGATTATGTATTACTACTTACCAATTATGGTCAAATCGGTATAAATTTCAGCAAAATCTTCATCCAGCCTTTTAACGTATCTCGTAATTGGCTCGTAAAGCATGATGATATTATCAGCTTGTCGTTCGACGGATTCTACAACAAAAACCTCCGTGATGAAAATTTTCAAATACTTGGCCGAATAACCGTGTTTCCGGTAATACTCCAACACCAAAAACTTGTTGGCGCTTTCCACCAGCTTCGAAACGAACACGCTGTAGATGATGTTCAAATCGGCGGCGGTCGGTTGTAGTTCCAACGTGTCCGTGTAGCTTATGGATAGTTTCAGGTAAGGCACCAAGTCTTCGTTTCCGGTTATGTCCACGATATGGTTTATGGTCCTGTATAAAGCTTGACCGAAGTGAACGGATAATATGCCGTTGCAAAGTTTCAATAGGTGAAAGTAGGTCACGTTGCCGACTTTGGCTTTAGTTTGATCACTTACGGTTATTTCTACAACTCTGTTATGCAACTTTTTCATTGCGCTTTCGCTTTCTTCGATGCATTTTTTGAAAGCTGCATCGAGTTCTTTGATGTCGTTCGGTTTACTTCTCAAGTTACTGGAAAATAATTGTTCTAGAATAGTGACAATTAATTGGAGAACAGGTGATATATATACCTGATATCGCATAGAGTTTCCGGTAACAAAACGACACACTCGTACAAAATCCTCCTCACCAATTGATGATGCAACAAAAATTTTGTAGTTATTTGCCGTTTTACTGCCAAATAGGCAGGATAGTTCTCGGTTCTGCCGAGATATTTATAAGGTTTCATTGGTTGTAATCGTTTGTGGCCTTCACTGCGTCTCGCTTTGATTTTTAAATTGACCCCCGCTTCGTGGGTGACCATTTTAAAATGCTCCCTGGCTTCTTTCATTATGTTGTCGACGATTTGAGGGTATCTACGTTCTAAGATTTTTTTTTGAATCTGAAAATAATTATTACAGTTCGAATAGAAATTTGGGTAAATTACTTTTTTCCTGATGGCCAATTCTTGAAAATAAGACATGTTATTGATAATACTCGTTTCCGCAAAGCCTCTGAGGATTTTATAAGAAGTGTCGACTCTAGGAACTTCTGGATAAAGTGGCGTCAACCTATTTTTGTACTCCTTCAGCTTGGTTTCCTTGCAAGATTCCCATTGGAAGGTTTTCAAAGTTTCGCGGCGTTTTTTGCGAATTTTAAGCTTGTCCAGCTCCAATAATTCCAATTCGAGCCTTCTCTCGCAGTAGCTGCATGATTTGCACGTTGTAGTACATTTTACGACCGAGCTAGCACAATCGCAATTGGCTTTCGATGATTTTATATTGTCGGCGCTCATTGTGTGAGGGATTAATTTGTAAATGTACTGACAATAGCTGTCAAGTTTTGGTGCATTTCCAAGGATACAAAAAAATCATTGTCATTTATAAATTTTGTTCACTAAAAATTGTATTTCTTCAAAAATCTTCAGTAAAAATACGATAATGCCTTGTGGTGCAGGATGCGGGGGCAACAGAAACACCGTAAATATTCATAAAACGCATAGAAAGTCACCTTTTTAACTAAAAAATTATTTACAGCCTCCGCCACAAGTGGTCCCATGTCCAAATTATAGCCCTCGTTATCCTCCAGCTGCAGCTGCTGACCCTTACTTACAAGTAAGCAAAATGCCTCAATCAAAAACCAATGTTTAAATTCTTCACTTAGTATGAGTTTGGATCGTCAACATTTAGAGACCAGAATCCAATGGATTTTGCGCGCAATCTCCCAGACGAATCGCTCGAACATAACATAAGCCCGATTCAGCCTATGGAAATGTCGGCAGAAGTTGCAACTCCACCTCCGGACTCACCCAAATCACCTCGACAGGAATCGGAAAGGGAAGAGTCTTTGATGCAATGGTTCGATCGGTCTGTGGAAAAAGAATTGAGGAAGCACAAAGATTCTGCCGTTGGTACCGCGATGGGTTTGCCATCGTCACCGATGATTGATTTGGAAGAAGAATTACCGTTGAACTTTTCCGCTGGACTTTTGGATAGAATATCAGAGGCCAATGCTAGTCAGGTTGAAATGGTGTTTGATTTGAGAAAAGAACCAGAGACTGGTTAGTAGATATCTATAATCTTGTAACAAATGCGCCCAAGTACATTTTTAATTAGGTAGATGGTAAATGGCGAGCGGTTTTATTGATGGTGTTTATTTCCTTGGGCGGCTACTAATAAAAATGTGGAGGGGGTCTATTCGCAAATGAGAGAAACAACTGTATTAGGGTTTACAAAATTATACTTTATAAATATACTATTTAAATAGTATTCAATCCCACCATAAATCTCATGAGGTTATCTCCCCATTCACCCCTCCACCTACGTGTTCTAATTTATTCTTTATCGGAGAAATGTTATTTATTGTTTCCGTTTCCGCTGTTCAAAAATGCCGACAGCGCGTGTAGACAATTGAATAAGTTTAATGTCGTTTGGTGCTTAGATTTATGAGTTTATATAAAAAGGTCAAGAAATTTCGTGTCTCTTCCGGTTGCGTAATTCAGTTTATCCGGACCGCTCCAGTTAAGCTTCACTGATGATAACGGAAGGCCTTCGTATAATAATTGTTAGATCAGATTTTGACCTTTATCGCTAGCTCATGCAGCGAAACAGATAACTACATTAATAATTATTTTAATTTGAACTTGAACACAACTTTTGGAATCTTCATAGTCTATAAATTAAAATAAAATGGTAGATAGTATAATTCAGAGAGACATGTTCCTTTTCTACTCAGTGAATAACTTTTGGTTGTTTTAGACTTGTCAGATGCAGTGGACAAGTTAGCCAAAGCCGAAGCGATGTGCGCTTTCGCTGGAGCTGTAAGAGCGGCTGAAGCTGCGGCTCACCAAGCGCCGCCGGAATTAGTGGAAGAAGCCGCTTTGGCTAGCGCCAGAGGTTACCAGACCGACCTGAAAGCTACCAGCATCCAAGGAGAGATTGTCGGTGTCAGACCGATTGAAGTGCTCGGGTACGTCGGAGTCACTAAACCGAAGTATCCGACGAAGAGACGTCAATAATAATAATTGTGTAACTGTCTTCAATTTTTTTGAAAGTTAATAAAATAACATTATTCCACCCATTCTTCAGCTCAATAACAGATTTATTATTAGTACTACAACAAACTACAAAAAGTGCGTTTATTGAACATAACTACTAAATTCTAAAGTAGGTACACCATTTAAGTTTAAAGACAGCATCGAACTTTTAGATAATTATGAGCGAAAATCTCCAACAACATTAAAGCAAGGCTCATAAAAATACCACATCCAAATACCGCAAACGGAAAGTAAACTTCGATTAGGCCCACACTAAGAAAGATGCTCTCTTTGCCTTTGCATCTCGGCTTCTGATTGAAACATCGCCGGTATTCTCCATTGAACAGGCCTGTTTCTGTTAATCTTCTAAAGCTAAAACAGAACCACATTAGAAAAATTGACGTTTGAAGTTTCATTGTTCAAAATTCTTTCCAAGGGATTCAGTTATTACCTACCTGACCAACACAAATTCCAAATAAGTCGAATTCTTAGGCATCAACAAGTAAGGCACAAAAGCTTTATATATATTCTCGACAAACAGTAAAGAGCATTTTTCGTTACTGGAAAAACTTTTGTCAATAAGATAGCTGGCTACAGTTTGCTCCAAGCCAAAAGCGAAATACGAATCTCTCATCATCACAATGCCTTTTTCTGCACTGTAGAATTTACCGCCAGTTGCGGTTTTGATTTTGTTATCGTTAACACGTTTGCGCCAGTATTCTATGGTACGATCAGTCGGGTGCTGGAAAAATAATCATAAATTCGTGAATTTCACCCAGAAAAATTCTTACCGAAAAATAATGTTTGTGGTAAACCTGGTCTTCGACCCCAAAATCGAAATTCGTATTGTAAAGACTATTCAAGTCGTCGATTTGATTTGTATTGGATTGCAACAGCAAAACGATTCTGGCCGAAAACGCCGTATAAATAAAGGTGAATGTGATCAGGGTGACAAAGGTAGCAATTTTTCCCGAAGCGCTTTTTGGTTCGTGGTAAAATTCCATCTGACACATGATAGCAATCTAAAACAATACAAAAACAGTGGCGACATTGAGACACTAACGTCGAGTTTTAGGTCGATATTAACAACGTCACTTGGAAGGCAAAACCTCGACGTCGTTCCAACTAAGAGATAAACAACGTTGTTCAAGTAAACCTGATTCCATTTTACCAAACTATAACTAGGTAACATCGTCACCAAAAGTATCTGGGACACAAATAATGCATAATAATCTCCTGGACTAATTCTACTGTCATTCATTTCAATGCATTTGATTCATAGTTTGACAAATATTTGACAATAAAATTCATCTAATAGGACAAGAGCTAATGTGATGCTGTCCCAGTTACTTTTGGTAGTGACGATGGTACATTGATGTTGTTTGTGAATATAGGTTTTCAAGTTATAAGTCATCCTTTAACTGAAAAGTCAGCGGATAACTTTATTTTCTACGACACACGACGTTGATTTTGGTCAAAATAAAGTCAGAAGGATAACAACAAGAAAAATAAGTAGCCCTATGTCATTGCTGGAATACGCTCTCTTTTGTCTTGTCTCGAAGGTTCGAGAGAAAACGAGTCGAGAAAGTGGATTTTCTTCTGGAACTTCTTTAGGAGGTGTTGGACGTGAAATTGCCAGGGGACATTTTTGGTTTCGCCTTCTCTAATGGATAAAGTAGTAGTGAAACAAGACCACCATGGGCTCACTTTCAAGGCCATTCGTTGCGGATGGCCCGTGGACATCGGGTGTAAGCCTTCTTTTGCAGAAGAAGGTGAGAGTCGTCGGTAATGACCAGAGGCTGTTGAAAAAGTCTTTGTGAGGGTCGTCGACAATGACCAGAGGTTGTTGAAGTAGATGACTATGGGGTTGAAGGGATGGCGGGAAAAGTGACGTCAGTGACACCAGAGGCTAGTGAGAAAGTCACGTGGCCCTAGGCCGGGGTAGCTATAGAGATGGTTAAAGAAAACTTGTAACAGGATCGCAGAAAATACAAAGAGATGCGAAAACATAGACTTGTTAACTAAACAATAACATACTTTGCTGAAAGCAAAATGTCAACTTTTTTGGTAAATAAATAATATTTTATAAATTAAGAATAAAATTTGTAACACAATAATTATCCTGGTCGCAGAATACAGTGCGATACAAGTGCTGCGCATGCGCAAAACGGATAGAGCGGAAAAAAGGTTTGGTGTAGAGTTTTATCGCTTTCTGAAGTTTTGAGAGCGTAATTTCATGAAACTGGTAACGGAGCAGTCGGTTTCTCACCAACTACATCAACGGGGAAATTTTGAGCGACCTCGGTTTACTCGAAAATAAGCGGAAGTTCGAAACAAATATTGTTTGCGCATGCGCTTACCAATACCTGTTAAAACAGAGAACTCCAATGCAGTGCGAAATACAACAAGAACTGTCTTTCTTGGACGGACCATAGACGGCTATAACCCTTTTCACGTGGCTCCGGTTCAACAAACCGCAACATACCGCTCGAATTCGAGTGGTAGGTATCCACACGTCACTTTCTAACCGGGTTAGAAAACGGTATGTCATTTCTCTAACCGTTTTGTAATCCGGTTAGTTAAACCGGAGCCACGTGAAAAGAACTATTGGTTTAGGGTGGGAATTATAAAACTTTTTTGACAGTTATAAATTAATCATGGCTGGTGTGCACTCAGTGTGACGCCCAGGGTGATTTCGAACGCACTCCTCTGGAATGACGTTACTTTCCATAGTAATTCTGCAAGTTAACTTTTTGCTATCTGTCATAATAGTTTCATAATAGCCGAGCTCCAATTTATGGGGCGGACGATAAGGCACACGCGGAACGGTCCAAAATGAGCGGTTCATTCGGTCCGGCGATATGCGGTCTGGCAATCACATCATAACGGTACGATAACGGACAGACCTACGGGTTTAATGCTGACGTCATTGAATTGCGTTCAAGTCCCTACTCGGGCGCCGAATTTGTAAAAAAAATCATAATTATTATATACACTGTGTCCGTGAAGTAACGGATAAATTCATTTGAAATTCATGTCATTTTTTTTTTTTTTTTTGAAAAACGCTCGGACACGTCGATCTTAATTTTTAGTAGCACTGTTTCTCAACTAATTTATATTTATACAAGGTCTCCCAAAAAAGAGATATCGCATGACACTTCAATTTTTTAAATGGAATATCCTGTATATTTTGATGAATATCGATAGAGAGAGAATTGATCTTGATGCCCTGTATTGATTTCATCAAAATATACAGGGCATTACATTTGAAAATTTGAAGTGTCATGTGATATCGCTTTTTTGGGCCACCTTGTATAAATACAAATTAGTTTAAAAACAGCGCCACTAAAAATTAAGTGTCCGAGCATTTTTCCAAAAAATATAATCTTAAATTTTAAATGAATTTATCTGTTACTTACTGTTACGAACACACTGTATATTATACTGAGAACACTCCACCGAAACCTTCTATGTATTATCCATTCACAATCCGATGTCCACAGGTACAGGTAAAATTTATCACTTTTCAATGCTATTTGATAGGGAAAGGTGATAAATTTACCTGTACCTTTGGACTACAGATTGTGAATAAGATATAGGTACCTAATTTTTTTTCTGGCTTAAGGAGGCGTCGGTCGTAAAATTGCCAAAAGACCTTTTCGGTTTTTTTCGCCTTCTCTACTGGATAGCGTATTTTGTTTTTCCAATTTTGGGGTTTCCCCAGTAAAAAGGAGTGAATTTTCTTTTGGAATTATTTTCAACTTTAGGAGGATTTATTCTTACCTGCATCATGATCACATCCAACCAACTAGGATCGTTTTCTTCATCATCATCGATTTTAAATGTGTCCTGCTTACATTCCCAAACAAAAATCGCGTTGATGAGAAGGCTACAAAAAACCAATAGCAGTCCGATGGTAATCCAAACCATGGTATCGAAAGGTAAGACGAACAGGTTGGTGTAGTAAGCCAAAGGGGGCGCTCTGAACACGAAACGTATAGCAAAATCTTTCAGCGGAGCGAATATGAATTTGAAATATCTGAGGCGAAACGGAGAACTGAAAGCGACTGTACCTGAAACATGAAACGTTTATACTTGTGAGAGAGGATTTGTAAACTTAAATTTCAAAATTTGGAATTTTGTTTACCAAAGGAAAAAGTCTAATCTGACCGATATTACTGCTCTTCACAATTTCCTACATGTACTTACGACTTTTCCTTATTTTGACTAAATTATTTATTATAAGATTCAAATTCAAGCGTGAGTTTAGTTGATGTTCGAGGCGTTGAAAAACCAAAGGTTTCGTGTACCAAAGAAAAAAGTAAAATGGAGGAAAATCTGATGTTTATTACTAAGAACTTCTCCATTTAATCGGGATAAAACGTTATTTTAATATACCCAATGTTACCTGAAACATCTGCATAATCATAAACGAGCTCCTGAAACATCCCCGGTGAAAATCTTATAACTCCTTTGTCGTTTTCATTTTCCCAGCCCCAAGTATTAACAATACGCCTTATGTGCGTAGCATTGAGTAGATCGGCTATGAAACTAAACAGGATGTAGTTTATTTTGGTGAAATTATCTAAATGTTTTTCTCTAAAGAAAAAAGAAATAATGTTAACCCAGAAATACATTTAATGTCACTTACCTATAATCCGTAAAATGCTTCATAGTACTATTATGCGTTAAAACATAAGAAGCTCTAAACAATGCCCCTTTGAAATTAATCCTGGTCCTTAAAATACTAAAATTGGCCAATAATTGGCAATTTCCAGACCAAGTTCCTATAGTTTGCTCATTAAACTCAGTAAAATTCTTATTAATCCTGTAAATCGTAATTAGTTCTGTTTCATTTTGCTGAATTTTAGGAAAAATGAAGAGGCTGTTAAGGGGTATGTAGTATTTTTCATTTTTTGCAATGTTTATGTCTCCCAATATGATCCAGACATTTGGGAAAGTTACTAAGTTGGTTGTTAGGGCCTGGAAAAAAATAATAATTTAAACCCAGTTTACATTAGGACTCCTTTTAAGTACTTTTCCCAGAAACTCCTCAAAATTACAATCCAAGTTTGCAATTACAGTATAGTACTGTGGCTGGTAATATTGCTCGAAAATAGTACAACTTTTTGTTAGAGTTTGATATCGGATATTTTGCTTCATTAGAACTTTTTGAAGAAGTCTTCGACGATCTCAAATAGACAAAAATTATAGTCACACAAACATCTATAAATAATTGTCTTAAATACCTTTATCCAAACACAAATTTTCAAGCACATGCTTAGGAGTTTTTTGAGTCAGAATTAAATTTTTCACGACATTAAACTCTTTTGAGGTGATTTCTAAGGAAATACCGTTATTTAATAACAATAAAAATATCCAATAAAGCATTTTCTTTTAGCTCAAAGACAAATGAATTCTCCCTTTATAATAATTTAGCCAATTAAATACAAAATTCCATACAATTATCCAGAATTATAGCTGCTGAATTATTTGCAGGTAAATTGCTAGGTAAACTGGTTTCATTTATTGTCAAATTATTGACAATCTGATTTTTATATACATTTTAATTTTATTTCAGGAAAAATGAAAGAAAATCAGGAAAAAAGGCAGAGGAATAAAGGTACAACGGCCACAACCGATAATACTATATCGAATGAGGATAGTATTATTTCAACTTCAGGTAGGTAATTATTATTTATAAGTAGTTGGCAATACATATATGAAAGTATACTTTATAATATTATAGAAGAAAGTGGATGGAAATCTCCTAGTCAGTTGAAACAAGAAGTGCAAACGATTATCGATATAATGGGGCCCCCAATGTCGCCAAACTTCAATTATAATACAAGCAGCGATGCTGATAATGAAGAATCCGCGTATTCGAATTTGAGAATTTCAACGGTAAGTGTTCTAAATTTGCTCTAGACAATTCTAGAAGCAACGACCCGCTATTAAATGGAGTCGGTCACCAAACCAAGTCAAATTAACTTGATTGTAGTTGAATTGAATGAAATGTTGTAGAAATAAGTAGGGTCGTGATAATACCTAATTGTAATTTTTCTTAAGGCAAATGAAACCAATTGTACAGATTGCAATAAACCCGAACCTTGTGAGTGCTCCGAATCGGAAAAATCCCTCACAATAATGGAGCCATTGTCAAGTTCCAAAGACGATCAGAACATATCGACAACCGCCGCCGATTTGAACACGTCAGTTTCGCCGACTTTGGACGATTTAACCGATCCGAAAGTCAATTTTCCTTATGTCGATAACTTTTGCAATACTTCCGACCTTCCGCAGTACACCATTTGTCCGCCCCCGCTAATGCCGGCAAACATTTGCGTCAATTCCGAATGTTTTTGTCCTCAAGTTTCTAGCATTTTGCATGGAAAAAATATACCGCCCGTTTTTAATGGGGATTTTACGTATGAAGCTGTACAACCAAACCAACGTGGTACGAATCTGATTCTTTATAAGTCACTATTGGTGTTAGTAGACTTCCTGCCGCTGCAGATCAGCCCCTCTACTCTTTTTTCTTCACGCCAACCACTCTGGACTCTTTCTCCAGGCCATAGTACAATTCCCTGATTGGCCACAGGGAAAAAGGAGAGGGGCTGATCTGAAGCAGCGAGTAGCCTACTAGTGTTATTATGAATTTGTTACAGCTGTTGAATGCACTAAATCTATCAAGGACAAAAATGTGGTTTTCAGTTGGTTGAGATCCATAATGTCTTCAAAATTTGAAAATGGTTGCAATAAATGCAACCAGAGCGAATATTATAAGATGAATGTTAAAAAAAATATCGATGATGATGGTAGTCCTCCAAGGGTAATTATCGATCTTGGTACTCACAATTCAACTATATGACTTCTTTTTAGCGAGTTGTATTTGAATTGGTAGACTCAAAAATCAAAAAACCATGTGAGCCATGCAACGATCCAATGAACATTGATGTAAAAAAGAAAAAAAACGCAAAAAATCAAAGACTTCAATGCCGTCCAAAACAGTGTATACAAAACGTTTTGGTACCACAAAGCCGTAAGTCCAAAAAACCAGTTGAAAAGACACTGCATTGTGACTCTTCTGGAAAAACTAGAGTCGATGTGTATTATTTTGATCACGGTTCCTACAAGTAAGAATATTTTTCATATTAAAAAAAATTATTAAAATGTTTTATATTATAGTCATTATCAAACAACCGATGCACCTCCATTAGTAACCACAGAAGAAATAGCAGATCTAACAGAGAAACATACAACCAGATTTTGGGCGGAACTTTTCGGCTCAATACACATTGGATTTTCGTTTGCAACTTCATTCATTTTACAATTGTTTAGGTAAATAAGGCAAAAATATTAGCAACAAACTATTTTTAATAATTTTTGTCGTAATCTAGATTCATCCTGTATAGTATCTGTCGTCCACTGACAATCGGTTTAATCCAGCTGGCGTCTGATTATTTTTTCAAACCTCTCCTGGCCACAGTGTTTAATGGTATTTTACAACCGGCCCTTATATTTATATACAACATTTTGGCGACTTTACGCGACATTTGCGATCCCATAGCCGAAGGAATTGGATATTTTCTAAGGGAATTGGCAGTTTTGGTGCAAGCTTTTAGGTTTGTCGAAATTAGAAGGGAATGTAAATGTTGTAATGACAGTAATAAGTGCGATAGGAAAGTGAAGAAAGAGAGGAGTATGTGTTAGGAATTTATTTTGTATTAGTGATATTATTTTAAGTGGAAAGTGCTTAGTTATACTCTATTTTTTTATGTGTACATTTTATAATATACATGGAAGCATACATTTGTATTCAAAACAGAGAAATTTTCATTTATATGTATAAGAAGAACTGTCGAAATTCACGATTTCCTACAAAGTTAACTTTAACCGATACCCCATCCACCCGATCGAAATTTTGAAGTTAACTATAACATGTGACGTCATTCCAGGAGTTAACTTTTAGTTAAATGTGGAAATAGTTTTATAATACCCGCCCTTAGTGAAATAGTGCAGTTTGTCCCTGTAAATTAATGCTCAATTTTTCTGGATCGTTACAGGAACTTCTGTATCCGTATCTGTAAGTGTTGGGAGGGTAGTATATATGATATGCCACACTGGTAGTCGATCGCAAATAATTAGAAAAACAATAAAAACTCAATTTGAAGCAAATTCTTTCATATGTTCATCTTATAAGGGCCATAAGTACCCGAAACCTATTTTGGAAAAAAAAGATACAATGTTAATACATAAAGTACTTATCACCTGTTAAGAGATGAATGTGGTAGTCCATCGCAAACAATTAGAAAAACAATAAAAACTCAATTTGAAGCAAATTCTTTCATATGTTCAACTCATTAGGGCCATAAGTAACCTAAAACCGTACCGATTTTGGAAAAAAAAGACACAATGTTAATACATAAAGTGGCGTACATTCGATCGACCTACGAATGGAGATCCATACGAAGATATACAAAATTTGAATGAGGAGGGTCTGTCCATAGTCTGTCTCTCTGGCGTCAGACTGTCAAACGCCAAAAGAGTATGAAAACAATGGTTGTGTTCATGCAACTTTGTTATTTTATCCCATTTTGACGTTTAAAAATGACATTATTGAACGCATAATAACAAAGGTAAGTAGACGTTTATCACCTGAGTGATTTAAAATATTTTTAACTCACTCTCGGTGTTTTAAGTCACTCTGCCAGTACAAAAATCTGCTACAAATACAAACAAAAAACTAGCAATACCCTAGCAACTACCAGTTTCAATAGGCATTAGACATTAGCGCTCGCTGAATGAATTCTTTTTATAATTTGATTCCTATTGAGTACTGAATTTTTTAAATGTCCATCAAAATGGGATAAAATTTTGTATACATCACGTGAGTTAAAATGTTTATTCATTCGAAGAAAATTACCCCCACTCGCTAGGGCTCGCGGGTTAAACTTTCTTCTCATGAATAAACATTCATTTAACTCACTTGGTGTATAAATAACTATTATATATTCATTCAAAAATTACGAAATAAAAAACCGTTAAATGCCATACAAGTTCAAATCAAAATTGGCACCGTTCGCGCAGACTCGGCGCATGTGAAAAATATGTGATTTATGAGAAGGAAGCAGGAAGCAGTACGAAGCCGTGTCTCTAAAACCACGTCCACTTTTTCGGTCGTTATCAAAAATCAAAAACCTGTCGAATTCAAGGCAGAAATTTCTTCTTATTATTTTTAAGACTGTGTTGTATCGGTGTGTCGCTGAGAAGCAGACTTTCTGGACACGAGGAGCTCCTCTGGATCGACGAACCAAGTAAGTGCCAATCCTCCATTGTCTTTGTATGGCTCGGGTTTATGTCCATTAATATTTGTGCGGCAAAATTGAATTTAGCGCCTACAGTCCCGCTCCTCTATAAACTCGAAAACCTAACGCAAATTTTCGTGAACAGGTTGACAGCCGTTGACAGTGGTTTTATTCTATGAGTGGTAAGAACTTTTATACGTGTGGAAACTGGAAACTAATATTTCCTCGTTTTTTTACTAATGGCGATTGTGTGTCTTTTCGTGATAGTATGTTACATTACTAGTGTGGAAAGTGACAAATCACACGAGTGTATGAAAGACGCTTTCTCACAAATGATGTACACCATTTTTCCTACGACCAGAAACCAATTTACACCAATTTTCTCTTATTTTTTCATTTTCAACACACGTGCTGAAAGTACTTTCAATACACGTATTGAAAGTAAATTGTGATGTCAAATGTCAATCACAAATAATGTCAACAGTATTTTCCACACGTGTGCTGAAAGTAAGCACGCGTATTGAAAGTATTTTCAGCACGCGTATGTGATATTTAGCGCTTTCCAAAGAACCAACTAGTGCGGATTTTGTCATTTTCTTATGTGGTCGTAGGAAAAAATAATTCCTATTCTCCGGCCGACGTGTCTTTCCATAAGTTTCCATCAAATCCTACATTTGTCAAAATTTGGATACACAAAATCAGAAAAGATACTCGCGAAAGAAAGGTAAATCCACGGCCCATCAAGTATACAAAGTAATCCACGTTCAAGTTTAGTTTACGGAAGCTGTTTGCTTCCAAAATAATCACCGCCCTCTCCATAGCGAAGTACCTACTGCAAATGAAGCAGTGACTTTTCCCATATTTTCAAATTGCTAAACACCCGCAATACACATTGACAAGCAAGCAAATGTTGGCGGGCAAATAAATGCTTATTTTCTACTTAACTATTATAGATCCATAATACTTTGATAATACCTAGGAAACGATATACGTTAACATACCTATAACAACCTGATCTATAACGCCCGCTATATTACCCTGAGGTGTTTATGTTGTAGTTTTATTAATTTGCACTTTACCCTAGGCAGCCACTAAATGTCTGACCTAGCCAGGGGCCTTATTCTGTAAGAAACGAACCGTTCGATTCGGTAGAATTTCTTCGATTGTGACGTCATTTTCGGTATGGTTTTCGCGCTACCACACCGAAAATGACGTCACAATCGAAGAAATTGTACCGAAACGAACGGTTCGTTCCTTACAGAATAAGGCCCCAGGATTCGAACCCGGACTACCATCAACGTTTCCCATGTAGTTTAGCGCGTAACCCACACGACCACCACCGTTGCCTTGCCTTATGAGATATTTATAATCTAGGTACAGGTCACAGGTACAGGTACAGTACAAAATACAAAACAGTATTCTGTCACACAAATTTAACTGATTTTGTTAATAATAAATTGATGAAAGAACATTGTGTTGAGTAGAAAATAAAGCATTGTATGCACGACGGGGATTTTAAGATTATAATGCCCCAAGAGGAGCAAAACATATCTGCTTTTTCAACATGGCGTTGCTGAATGATGTCAATGCGCAACGTCACTATAGGTCTGTTTCCACAGAAATCACAAACCAGTCAGAGCGTTTTTGATTGGTCCAAATCGCCAACAACCAGATTCCTGACTATTTCCAACCAATAAAATTCGCTCTGACTGGTTTGTGATTTTTGTGGCAACAGCCCTTGTATTGCACTAGTTTGCAATATATACCCATGCTGCCAGATTTCCTCCTATACCATTATAGCTTAGTAGGCTGTACTTTTTGTTTTATACAGTGAGAACTGCAGAGATGCATTCGATTGACAAAATTAAATCGATTTGGTTCAATTTAAGTGAACCAGACCGTGTTCGATTGTAGTTGGATCAGTTTACCCCCACCCAAGCAAAAAATGATCTAGATCCACTCTAAATCAAACGAACAACTGGCAGTTGACAGTTATCGAATTGAACCTACTTTTCCCGTTCAGATCTATTTCAACTGAACGTTATGAATCGAATACGACTCAGAAGTGCGATAATAGATCTGTTCCAACAAGTCAAGAACCGCCCTCTGAACCACTCATACGAATTTCGAATTCTACGCCCAAATTTCAAGTTTTGCCCAGAATCGTGCTATGTTGGAACAAAGAAACTGGTCTCGAAACCGTTTATGGGACGGTCTTGGAACAGACCTGAAAACGCTTTAGATTTAATGCGCAAAGTGTGTTTTGCATCCTATTCTATTAACTCGTAGAAGAAAATAATGGTTTTTACCCAAGTTAGGAGTGCTTATTGAGCTGAAAGTGTCTGCTACGTCCACGTGACATCCCACCCTATTTGTGACCACAGATCTCAATTTTTGGGGTAATAATATATTATCCGAAAACACTTTGGGTCCAAAAAACGAATTCCTAAACATTCAAAATCGCCAAAAAACCTAACTCACAAGCACAGCCTGAATTGCAAGCATTCCATCGAGGTCTGCGATTGAGCTGAAAGTGTCTGCCACGTCTACGCGACAACCCCCCTATTCCTCAACCTTTGGGGTAATAAGCATTATCCGAAAACCTACCTCAATGCCGAAAACACTGTAGGTCCAAAAAACGAATTCTCAAGCATTCAAAATCGACGAAAAACTTAAATCACAAGCATAGCCTAAATCGCAAGCATTTCATCGAGGTCTGCGGATGACGTCACCACTTTTAGCTGCTGATAGTAGTGACCTCACCCGCAGACCAACTGCCGACTGCAGAACTGGCGAACGTACGCCTTATTAGGTTTAGCAATCCTGTTTGGTTGAGTATGCTTGGTTTCTATCCATCGTAATCAACAAGGCTAAAAAACTATGAAGATAATCATGTCAAAGGGCAAAAAAAAGCTACAAGACAAGTAATGCTATTTCAATGTAGGTACTGTATAATAATGTATTAATTTAAATACTGCACGCCTACTGTATATGATAGGTAATTAAAATTCATAATGCATTCAATCAAAATTATCCGCTTGATATCGATAAATTATTAATATCGATGCTACAAAATATAAAATTCAATAGCTTTTGCTCCGGCGACCAGCACAGCGTCTAATTTTGGACGTCAAAATAACGGGGCACCGCGACGCGTCTGCAACACTCACGGAGTACACACCTTTTGCTTCCCCCCACAAGAAAAAAAAAAATAAAAATAAAAAAAAGTCTCAGTCGTACTCAGTTTTCGCGATCGCGAGCGTTGGGAAACGGTATAGTAGAAAATGTGCGGAATTAATTTTGTTTTAAACTTTTGTTGAGGATATTATTTTTAGTGTTTTTTGGGAATATTGAAAGGTGAATATTATTTTCTTCAATAATTGAAATAAATAAGTTATGAAAATAAGTTTATAGGAACATGTTTTCTAAATTTTTTCTAAATTTTTACATGAAGTACCTATTCTTTCTACTCTGAGTCGAGTAGATCAGTGATTTCAATTATTATATGATGAAATATACAATAATGAATTAGAGGGTAGAGGGTGTTCAAAATTTTTCCTATTTTTTTTTTGTAATTTATGTGAAGTAGTTACCTACTCTTTTGGCTTTCTGCATTCCCCTGGTATTTTGATAAAATTTTAATAGCATAGTAGGCCATGACAATAATTTTTCATTTACTTATGCCAAAACTGACCATAATTATGAAATACACGAATATGAAATCTATAAATTTCTTCGAAACAAAATGCAAAAACCGCATTCTTTATAATTATCAAAACAACGGAACGGAAACAGATTTTTCCTGTTAACTTCCTTGGAAATCTATAATTATTGCTAATTCAGTGAGTTTCTTGCAACACATTTATGAAAATATACAGTGCGATTTTTTAAATAAAAAAAATCCGAAATTAGTTCGCACCAGAAACTGGAATGTCAGCTCGCAAATTTTACGAATTTAGGTCGGCTCCGTCCTAAATATTTTGATAAATTGTCTGTCTTCACACTTGTTTACTTTCTATCGTTCAAATAGAAAGAAAATTATGCACTCAAAAGATTACTTTCTTTTAGGTCAATGGCTCAAACAACATACCAAAACCACACAATGCTAAAAATATCCACAATTCTCGCCTATTTGATTCCAGACGCCTCATGCCTCTGGATGATCGGGAAGAACATTTAATTTCGGGCGTTTTTTTTATTTTGGTTTCGAATTGATATAGACACTTAATTTTGTAATGGACCAATATTTTAATGTATAGGGTGATCCAATTTAGATATTTTTAATAGAAAACGTCAACTTTTGAGCGAGTATTTTTTCAAAAACACTAATTTATTTTAAACTACATGTTACAATTATATTGGACACTAACTTAACAAACTTTTGAGAGGTGACAACTGGAACCAGCCCGACGAGTCTGGAAAAGAATAGACTAGTCATAGAACGGCTTTAGTCTATCAAAAAATCGAAAATTGATTTGTTTTGAAGTTTTTCACTTTCGCTGAGTTTCTATAAACTTCAATTATTTCGAAAGGTCTGTTAAAAAGATTTTGAGCTTTGTCTTTTATTTGAGCTTCTTTGACATACACCTTGTCACCTGCTTTATATTCTGGAAGATTTTGTGAGTACGTCTTGCCGAACCTTATATACTTTCGACTTTTCTTTCTGGATATCGGTTCTAGCTCGAGCCATTCTATAATAATATTCCATTCTATTGTTGAGGTCTCGTATGTATTTGGAGATTAGCTGTTTTTGATAATAAAGAGTCTCAGGGAGTCTTGTCGACGTATGGACAAGAATTAATTCGAAAGGTGTAAATCCGTGTGTCTTATTTTTGGTATTATTATAACAAATAACTGCGTACGGGAGAATGTTGAATGGTTGTTCATGTGGATGTTCCGCTTTATGAACGCAGATCATCTCCATTTAAGTTGCATGGAATCTTTCCAGCGATACGTTGGATTGTGGGTGGCTTACGTTTAAAAATGTCAATTTTATGTCGTAGAGTTGACAGAGGTCTTTGAATAAGGCGTTGTTGAATTCTCCTCCACAATCACAGTGAATTCTTAAAGGTGTACCGTAATGTTGGAAGAATACTAGTAGGGTGTTAACAATTGTGGACGTCTTTTAGTCTAAGATTGGGTAGGCTTCAGTGAATTTGGTAAGTTCATCCCTAACTGTTAGGGCGTAGTTACAAACTGGGAAATCATAAACGTCAATGTTTATCCTTTCAAATGGATTCTTGGGAGTTTCAGTGATAACGAAAGGAAAAGTAAGATTTTTTTCTACAGATTTGACTTTTTGGCAGATTTCACAGGCTCTGATGAATTTCTCAACATTTTTAGTTAAACCTTGCCAGGAGTATGTATTTGTCTTTAATCCTTCTAACGGTTTCATTGATTCCACGTTGTAAATTTGTTTTTCCAGTATGATATTGGTATAGGATAATTGGGATTTGAATTTGATCTGGAATTTTGACGATAATTTGATATATCTTAAGCTTAATGTCATTTTCGACAAATCTAAAAAAAAATATATTTCAAGAATAGGTAATTCCAGATTGTTTTCTATGCAAAAGATTTTTCCAGGGTCAAATTGGTTTTGACACTTGAAAAGCAAGGAAAAGTGGATAGGGACTATTTTCTCATTTTTGCAAGGAATGGGAATCCTGAAGTTCTTGCGTGCCTTCACAGATTTGCTGGATAAAATGTTAACTTGATAAGGTTGAAAATCGAAATTTTCCTCGAATAGATCATCTATTATTTTGTAATGTAAGTCTGTTAGTTTGGTTTGCCAAAAGAATGTTACAATATTTTTGTGAGACTTGTCATGTGTATCTTGTTGTTTTGAGTAGTCAATAATTGATCTGGTTTTGTAGAAATTTACGAAGCAGTTGTATTCTTCCTCAATTAGGGTCGTTTCATCATTGTTTTCAATTTCGACGATTGGAATTTCTTGTTGTTGACTTGTAGAGGGGCGGTTTCTTATAGAGTCAATATCAGGTTCTTCTTTGTTAAAAGCGAGTATGTGAATTTTGGAGCTCAAATCTGAACAATCTTTAAAGTGGTTTACTTTTATTCGAGACAGAGTATCAATGTTCTTATTGATTTTCCCAGGTTTATACTCGATTCGATAGTCGTATTCTTCGAGTTTCAAGCACCAGCGAGCTAAACGACTTCCAGGGTCTTGAGTAAAGCCAAGTTAAAGGGCGATGATCTGTGATAAGGACAAATTTTCGACCAAAGAGATAAGGTCTAAAATGCTTAACTGCTCATAAAATGGCCAGTAATTCTCTCTCTATGGTAGAGTATTTAGTTTCGGCATTGCACAGCGTTCGAGAGGCATAGGCTATAGGGAGATCTTTTCCTATAAGGCCTTGTGACAAAACTGCACCGATGGCAAAAGCGCTTGCGTCGGTGTTTAATAGAAATGTCTCTTCCAAATTGGGATAGATCAGAATCGGGTCAGAAACTAGTGCGTTTTTCAATTCGTTGAATGCGGATATGCATCATTCTGCGTTAAAGTGAAATGGAAACATCTTTCTGGAGGAGTTTTGTCAAGGGCTTCGATGTTTCAGCAAAATTGGGGATAAATCAACGATAATATCCTGCTAATCCTATAGAAATGATTTAATGTCTTTTGGATTTTTAGGTGTGGGGAAGTTCTAAATATAACTAATTTTTGCAGGGTTCGGTTTTACAGTGTCTTGAGTGATAAGGTGTCCCAGGTAAGCTTCTTCTTTTTGAAGAAACTCACATTTGTCCAGCTGGATTTTTAAGTTAGCCTTACGTAGGCGTTTAAATACTTCGGTTAGCCTTGAAATATGTTCGTGGATGGTAGGAGAGGAAACGATAATATCGTCCATGTAGACTAAGCATCTTTCATTTTGAATGCCGAAGAGAATATTGTCCATGACTCTTTGGAATGTGGACGGGGCATTTTTCAATCCAAATGGCATACGTACGAATTCGTAATGGCCATTTTCTACGAAAAAAGCGGTTCATCCTTGCGGTCTACTTCTATTTGGTGAAAACCTGAGGCTAGATCAAGGGTGGTAAAATATTGACATTTTCCCAATTGATACAGAAGATCGGAAATATTAGACAACGGGTATTTGTCGTCTAAAGTAAGTTCAGTAGTCGATCACGACGCGCCATTTGGGTTGGTCAGAAGCATCAAGTTTCTCAGGGCGACCCAGACGAGAGAAGACCATGGAGATACAGAATGGCGAATTATGCCTGGGTCTAGCATTTTAGTAACTTGGGATTTGACTTCTTCTTTGTGGATTTGGGGGTACCTGTAAGATTTGGTATACAATCAAAAAATCAAAAATCAATTTCTTTAGTAAATATGAGCGTGTCACTTTTCAGGTAGAAAATGTCGGAAAAGTTCAGGCATAAGTTGGTAATAAGTTCTTTTTCTTCGTCATTTACATGTTCTGTATAAAGTTCATCTTGTATCGACATTTGCCTATCATAAGTATCGTCATATTCGAGGTTAGAGTTGTTAAAACTCAGAATAGTTTTTTGAGCTTCACTTTCTGAGACAAATGGTTCGAGGGATGTCAAGCCAGGAAAACAAGCCGGCCAAGTCTAGGTGATGGAGATAACCAGTGTCTTTTACCTCATTTCTAGTTGTAGTACTTTACTTGAGAATTTTCCTATAGTCTAAAATAAATCATTACTGTATTTTGGAAGAAAATTATTACAAAATATGTTGTTAAATCAAAATTACAACTATTATCAGTTTTTTTATCGCATCATTATATCGACTAACCAAGATGACGCAATGATGCTTCATTATGATATCAATAATTGAGTGGATAAGCAATATTTATTATTATAGTGAGATAAGGAGTGCTTTACCTTTAAATAAGGAAATGTTTGTGTGTATAAAAAATGGCCAATAATAACGATGATGTTTTTGTTTCAGAAGGCGAAAATATGATTAAAGTGGACGAAAGTGAACCTGTTGGAGGTAAGTAAAGCAACCAAAATCAAAAAGTTTTGCTTTGTTTCAAATCAGCATCAATTTGTTTATTAAGATTAATATTAATTAACACACTGTATATGACAACAATTTAAATTGTTGTGTTATGATTGGGTTAATTGATCTCAAACAAGGTTGAAATTTGTTTGAGATTGAACAATTCTGACTATTTACTGTTCCAAAGTCAACAGAATCAAAAAGTCGTCTATAAGTGAAATTAAAATATGTCGTGATATAAGATTTATCAAGTACTGAGAAATTTTCGAAGCACTCGTGGCGTAAAAACCAAAAAATAAAAATAAACAAATAAATAAATTCCAAGGAATTCCTCCGCTATAATTATTCATTGATTTTAATTAACAAAATGCGCTCGATATTGGGCAATAATTACTTTATCTTTTTGCTGAAGGTCAATTTTCATTATGTTGATAGGCAAACAAAATATATACACAATTTAATTGAGATTTAAATGTTTTTTTAACAATTGTTTGCTTCAACGAACAAGGCAAGTTGTAAAATTGGCGCTAATCAAGAGAGAACATTTTTGCACTGAAATAGAAATCCTACCTTATGATTTGGACTTTTAAAAATTTTGAAGTCCCATAACTTTTTTTTTATTTTAGATAGAAAGCTGAAATTTTCAGCGATTCTTATCCCAGTAGAGGACTACAATCCCTGAAAACTTCAGCTCATTTGTATTTATAGTTTCAGAAATAAAATCGTGCTAAGCAATTGTGGTGATTTATCAATTTTTCAATTTTTCTGAGTGCCTTTTTTCATAGATTTCGGCTTCAAATCTGAGAATAATTTAGTGTATGGAGTTTGGGGGATGTTGATTGACCATTATGATACAAAATCTCGACAAAAAAAAATTGAAATTTCATTGTTTTAGTAAGATTATGATTTAGATTTTGGAAAACTATCACTGAAAATTATCCCTTTCAAAGGACTACAATCCCTGAAAATTTCAGCTCATTTGTACTTATAGTTCCAGAAATAAAATCGTGCTAAGCAATTTGGGGTGATTTATCAATTTTTTAATTTTTCTCGGTGCCTTTTTTCATAGAATCCGGCTCCAAATCTCAAAATAATTTAGTGTATGGAGTTTGGGGGGTCCCAAAGGACCATTAAGACACAAAATCTCACCAACAAAAAAAATTGAAATTTCATCGTTTTAGTAAGAAGGTAGCTACCCTATGATTCAGAATTTGGAAAACTTTGAAAGGTCATAACTTTTTTTCTATTCAAAATAGAAAGCTGAAATTTTCGGCGATTCTTATGCCAGTAGAGGACTATAATCCCTGAAAACTTCAGCTGATTTGGACTTATAGTTCCAGACATAAAATCGTTTTAAGCAATTTGGGGTGATTTATCAATTTTTCAATTATTCTGAGTGCCTTTTTTCATAGATTCCGGCTCCAAATTTCAGAATTTAGTTTATGGAGTTTGGGAGATCCCAAGGGACTCAGTGCCGCAACTAGGGGGTGGCGAACTAGGCGCCCGCCTAGGGCAACGGAGTATGGGGGCGCCGAAGGCGCCTAATTGAATCCATCCATATTTTACAATCCAAAAAAATGCAACGGTTTTACGTGTCATTTGTCGTAGCACAGAAATTTATTATATCTCTTTGTCAACCATCAAGAATACGAATATCGATAGTATAATCATATAAATTATGTCAAACACAGTGCGCGTGCAAAAGGCAGCAGCAAATTGCAATATCTGTGATAAATTCAAGTATTGATGACGTAGCGCCTAACATTCGTTAGCTAGAGATTTAGGCTAGTAAAACTAGGCTTATTTTGAGCTGAACCTCAAACAAATTCGCTACAAACTAATTTTTGCGCCATTGTGTTTCTTTTGCAGTGCGTTCGAAATCACCCTGGGCGTCACACAGAGTGCACACCAGCCATGCATTTTTTATGACTGGTGTGCACTTGGTGTGACGCCCAGGGTGATTTCGAACGTATTCTTGAGGTTTTATATAACTGGCTAAAAATCTCAAAAAATCCGATACGGGGCGCAGCCCCTAAATCACCACCAAAAATACATTTTTTAAGTTTTTTGCAATTTTTTTAAAATCAACAAATTTTTCGAAAAATTTGCAGGAAACCTTTTTTGTAGAGCACAAAATTTGCAATTTTTTGGTATGACATACTTCATTATTTAAATACGCTTAAGATATAAAAGAGTATAAAAATATAAAAAAGTAAGAGTTAAATTTGTATTGGTCTTATTTAGTGACATGTGCCTATATTACTTAACTGGTGTTTATAATTCGGAATATTTATTGTTATAACACTTATAACCAATCAAAAGCCAGAAAAATTAAAAAATTGAATTTTCAAGCCAATTAGGAATAGGAAATATTTGATCATTGAATTTTAAAACGTCAAATTAAGCCAATCAAGAGCCGGGAATATTTGAAAATTGAATTTCAAATCAAATCAAGAGTCGGGAATTTACAAATATTGAATTTTTGAGCCAATCAATAGCCGAGAAAATTTTAAAATTGAATTTTAAAACCAATCAATAACCGGAAATATTCGAACATTGAATAGGGTACTTGCATGAAAAATTAAATTGATTATTGTTTATTGCAAACTGCAGGAAATCGAAAAAAATTCGTCACTTTTTTTCTATTTCGCCCAAATATGATTACCTATTCCGGAAGTTATTCAAATATTAAGTTTTGTATATATAGATATACTGAGCATGTGCAACGTCACTAATTTATTAGATAAGTGACGTCATAGGCAGATTTCATAGTGTTGTATCTCCGTCAATTTTTGACTAAGAAGAAAAAGAAAAAACACGTGTTGACTTATTTTTTATGGACTATCGAAATCAGCAATAAAAAAATTTGATGCAAGGAGCCTATTATGAAATATCAAATTGAGTCAATCAAGTGCCGGGAATATTTGAGAATTGAATTTTGAAGCAAATCAAGAGCCAGGAATTTACAAATATTGAATTTTTAAGCCAATCAAAAACCGGAAAAATTGAATTTTAAAACCAATCAATAACCAAAAATATTCGAACATTGAATTTTGAACTATGAGCCAAGTCGAATGAACAAAGAACACTGAACCAAGTCACCACATCTTAAAAAATGTCGCGTTCTGATCGCGTTGCTCCCCTCCCCCGCGAAGGTAATTAATATTGATTTTAACATGTCAGTCTGCTGTTATTTGAGATGTACAACAACAACAATTCATAACATAGTTTATACGTATTTTTTCTCAAAGTTGACCAAATAACAAATGATTCATAGCAAAAACGAAATATTTTATTGGTGTTTATCGCTAAAATAAATAACTGTTAAATTCTAAGGCCTGTATCAACACTAAAACTTCTCTAAATAATACAAATGGATATACCATTTGATTCGAAATGTTGTACTCTACAAAAAACGTGTCCTGTACTTTTTTGTTTAAACTTACCGTTTTTGAGAAAATTCCAACAAACCTAAAAAATGTACCTTTGGGGGTGGTTTTGGGGTTTCGCCCCCTATCGGATTTTTTGGGATTTTCAACCCATTATAGGAAACACTAAAAGGAACACAATGGCGCAAAAATCAGCTTGTAGCGAATTTGTTTAGGGTTGCCCACCTAGTTTTACTAACCTAATTAGCTTCGAGCTTTGATCCGACCAAACTGAGCAAGAGCAGTGTGGGTGACGTGGGCGCCCTCTGCATGCTGCGTGCATTATCTCTTTTGACTCTTTTCTATTTAGCCGTTTACAGAAACTAAAATCGGCATATCCTAAGTATTTGGCAATATCGTGAAGTACGATACAACAAATAATTACTGATGGAACATTTTGTAATTTATCTCAGGACATATATTTCAGAATTGGAAACCTACGCTTCAGTTGACCAAAGCACCTCTCAATTATTATCACTCATTCTCTCTTAAACAATCTGGTGTAGACTCTTTTAGATGCGTTATTAGGGTTTCTAAATGGTGTCATTAGCCACGGTTCTAAGCCATATCCATCATCGCCCAGCAATACTGCACTAGGAAACTATTGCATAGTCACACGTATATCAGTGTTCCTCCAAATTTTAGCATCATGTACAGAACCCGGCCAACTTACTTCAGCACTAGTAAAGATTTCTAATGAGTTGCATATTGCCTGCACCAGGGCCGCCGCTAGGGTGTTGGCCGCCTGTGTGCCCAGACAATTTTCGCCGCTCCATTCCCTCTAAAGTACAAAATTGAGGGCGTTGGAATGGAATACAGTTTTTTGACTTTGAGATACTTAACGTATGAATCCAGTCAAAGATTCATGGTAGAGATGAAGGAAGGACGACACAAAAGGGAGACGCGTATCTGTAGTGACGTCACAAGGGTATCGGCGCTTGACTATAATAGGCAATCCTCTTTGTGTCAATGGTTTGTCGGCTGTCATTGTCATTGGCTGTCTTCCTCTTTCTCTCTACGTTACATTTTTCTTCTCTCTGGTGTAACAAAATTTGCCAAAACGTGACGCGTCTTTCATATCACTTTCATATCAGACCGCCCGCCGCCTAAGGGCCAAATTATGAACCAACTGGTGAGTGTCTGGTTGTTACGTAGCAGGTATTTTCTATTCTCTAGTGCATAGAAAATACCTGCTAGGTAACAACCAGACGTTTACCAGTCAGTCCATAATTTGTCCCTAAAGCTTGATGGTTGATTTGTTTGAGAGATTTATTTTCGATAAAAGTCGATGGCTACCTATGATTTATTTTGAAGTGAATTTTCTTTAGGCGGCGGTATATTTTGTCGAAAATGGAGAGTGATTTGAAGGACGCGTCACTTAACGTAACGTTTTGGGAAATTTCGTTACACGAGAAAGAAGAAAGATATAACGTACGTAGAGAGACGGAAAAAAACAGCTAATGACAATGAAGGCCGACGAATTGACAATCGTTCGTCGGCCTTCAACTAACCCAAACCAAGGATTTAAAAACAAGGAGGATTGCCTATTATTGTCAAGCGCCGATACCCTTGTGACGTCACTGCAGATACGCGTCTCCATTTTGTGTTGTCTTTCGTCTTTACCCCGACTCATACGCTAAGTCTAAAAGTTATACGAGGGGTGGGGGGTGGTTTTTAATATTCTACCACGTGTGTACCTACCTACCTACATGATATTTTTTTTGCATCAGGATCGTCGGCGGCAACATTTTCTTAATCGGCCGCCCCTTTCAATCGGCCGCCTGTGTGTTTTGAACACACCGCACACATGGTGGCGGCCCTGGCCTTCACATTCAAAGTCGCCAACCCCTTCCTGTTGATGTAGGCTATGTTCCGATATCAACTGGCAGTACTGAATTTACTGTGCTGAAATTACTGTCATTTGCCGTTCCGATTTCAACAGCGTACTCTTGTCGTCATTCAGTACTGAATCGACTGGATCCAGTGTACTGAAAATAATAACGGAACGGCGTCCAGTAAATTCAGTACTGACAGTTGATATCGGAACATAAGCGTATTCATCACCGTGTTGATTCGGTTCCAAAATCTGAATGTGTGTGCAATCAATTACACCAATAGCACTGGGAAACTGAAACTTTTCTTGCCACGCCTACTGTGCTTCGTTTATTTTGGGCAAAGTTGACGGAAATTTATTCCACAAATGGGCTTTTTCAATTATTTTGTTCATAACGGATGAAATTGTGTTCGAAACCGTCGACTGATGGATTCCCAGTTCTTTTTGCAACTCCTGTTTGATATCCGGGATTCGTCATATACCGCAAGAAAACCTTCATTTTATGATTTGAAGAAAGGGCGCCTCCTCTTCTTTCATGATTCTCTCCCAACAAGCAGAGGTTACCATCCAATTTAAATTTTCTTTTTCAAATCGGTAAAGAGATTTAAAATCTTGCCTATTAGCTTCTCTCCGTACTTTGTATTGCTTCCGTCCACGTAAATTCACGAAATCTGCCATTTTATGTCTAGTTTATTGAAAGCTGCATCTAATAGTAACGAGATGCAAAAATTTTAGAGCAAGTGCTCAGGGTAGTAGGCAAAACCTTTAGTTTATTCATAACAAGTTGAGGAAATACTCAAATGTGATTAGATGGTCATGTTTATAATACAGTTTTGAGCAACAGCATTTACTTATACATTTTTATTCAGAAAATATATAGCATATGCTTCAAGTTTTGCGAGTAAAAGGTTTTGCTCACTTTTATTCATACGGGCCAATGTGTCTGAATTAAGCGGCGTTTCCACAAGCATAGTTTATTGGCGCCAGTCCACGTGCCAGTTTGCTGGCGTAATAATAGTGGTGCCAGTATCTGTTTCCACTGATATGATATCAAAAATTTTTAACTGGCGCAGTAGAAAAATGAAAAATGGCGTCAACTTTAATGTTGCTGTGAATATTTTGTTTCTAGAATTATTGCAGAAGACCCGAAAAAACAAGAAAAAGAAACATAAACATAAGATCTGGGTACGAAAATGGATTTCACGCAGAAAAGCTCTAGGAGCATCAAATAATTTACTGTCTGAGTTAACGGATGGAGACCGCATGAGGAATTTCCAAAGCTTCTTATTTTGATTTCGGCGGCAGTGATATCAAAACCACTTAAGAACACGAGAACTCGCACAATATGTCAACACTTATCCTTATAGCATCATCCCGTTTATTTCTAGCTTTGTAACACAAAAGTTTGTGATTCCACAAACAGGGATGCTCTTCCATAAACTTTATATGTGCAATTTTTTAGATTTACTTGACGATTTCATTACTTTTCTGAAAACGAATAGTGAAAACCTCTGTATTTTTTTTTGACAAACTGTCACACATGGCTAACTGGCGCCAAAAAGTAGACCTCGATTCTACTTTACTGGAGCATGAATAAAAGGGAGGAATAAGCCTAGAAATTTCTGGGCTTAGTTAACCTTATCTTAATGAGACTAGGTTAGACTGGTGGAAACAAAATTATAATATAAGCGGCACTTAACGTTAAGTAAACTTAAATTTGCGTTGGTGGAAACGGCCATAAGTGGCGCCAGCTAATTTTCCGAGTTTCCACGCGCCAGAAAAGTTACGCCAGTCGCCTGGCGCCAATAAACTCTGCATGTGGAAACGCCGCTTTATACATTTCGAAAATGTATTAAAAAAATTTCAAGCAAAAACCAAAGCATCAAAAAATATATCTATTGTTACTTTTGAGGAGGCGGTGGAGGGGCGCCAAAATTTGGACTTGCCTTGGGCGCCGAGGGTTCTAGTTGCGGCCCTGCAAGGGACCATTAGGACACAAAATCTCAACCAAAAAAAAAAATTGAAGCTGCCATATGACTTAGATTTTGGAAAACTTTGAAAGGTCATAACTTTTTTTCTATTAAAGATAGAAAGCTGAAATTTTCAGCGATTTTTATCCCAGTAGAGGACTACAATTCCTGAAAATTTCAGCTCATTTGGACTTATAGTTCCAGAAATAAAATCGTGTTAAAGGGGGTGTGACTCTAAAAAACGACTTAAGCTACTTAAATCAAGAAAAAAAATCTAAGATCTCTCGTGAAAACCGCAGTCCTGTATTCAAAATAGTCTCCAAGAAAATTTCTTGTGAAGATCAATTATGCAGGAAATTGTGATGTCACAACTGCCGAAATCGCAGTCTTCTGGTCGTTCAGTCGTCAGTGAACCGTACCCTATACTTTGAGTAGTTGCAATTCGCTTTAGGAGATAATTAGGTATCTTTTGTTTTGGAGAATTATTACACGTGTTAATACTGTCCCTAAAAATCCAATGTGACGTCACAAACGCCTAGTTGTAACTTTAAACCGCCCTAACTCGAAAACGGACCATCGTAGCAAGATGCGGTTTGAATATTTATTCTTAGATTTTTTTGCACTAAAACTTTAATTTTTGGGTCACACCCCCTTTAAGCAATTTGGGGTAATTTATCAATTTTACAATTTTTCTGAGTGCCTTTTTTATAGATTCCGGCTCCAAATCTCAAAATAGTTTAGTTTATGGAGTTTGGGAGATCCCAAAGGACCATTAGGACACAAAATCTCAACAAAAAAAAAATTTGAAATTTCATCATTTTAGTAAGAAGTTAGTAAGCTATATGACTTAGATTTTGGAAAACTTTGAAAGGTCAAACTTTTTTTCTATTTAAGATAGAAAGTTGAAATTTTCAGCGATTTTTATTCTAGTCGAGGACTACAATTCCTGAAAATTCCAGCTCATTTGGACTTATAATTCGAAAAATAAAATCGTGTCAAGCAATTTGGGGTGATTTATCAAGTTTACAATTTTTCTGAGTGCCTTTTTTTATAGAATCTGGCTCCAAATTTCAAAATAATTTAGTGTATGGAGTTTGGTGGATCCCAAAGGACCATTAGGACACAAAATCTCAATAAAAAAAAATATGAAATTTCATCGTTTTAGTAATAAGGTAAGTAGCCTACCTTATGATTTGAATTTTGGAAAACTTTGAAAGGTCATAACTTTTTTTCTATTAAAAATAGAAAGCTGAAATTTTCAGCAATTCTTATCCCAATAGAGGACTACAATCCCTGAAATTTTCAGCTCATTTGGACTTATAGTTCCAGTAATAAAATCGTGTTAAGCAATTTGGGGTGTTTTATTAATTTTTCAGTTTTTCTTATTGCCTTTTTTCATAGAATCTGGCCTTCTCAAGCTTCAGTGCTACATAGAGACAATAAGTCGGACAGGCCTGCAAGAGATTAAAAAAAAAAACTTTAAAGCTCTCTAGCAAGAAAACGGCTAACACCAATTCATGAAATTTATTTTCAAAACATCAATAACTCATCACAAGCACGTTTTATACATTAACATTCTCCAGAGATAACGAAGACGACAATGAGTAACTATATTTTGACCGGTCAATTGAAAAAATAAAGTCTTACGATAAATGACGCAAACAAAACTGGCAGAAAAAATAGTTTTTGGCGTCACGGTTGAAAAGGAAAACAACAGTCAAAGTTTTATCAATGAACATCCAATCGAATGTTTTAGTGAATTACGCCTCGATTGATTACGTATCGAAGAAGCTATTTTTGATGAAACAATTTTATTTTGGCTATGATCAAAATCAACGATATTTGATTCTGTTATTAAGGTTATTCGTAATAAAGATAGTTTTTTATGAATTAATGACGCCATCTAATTTGTCACGGTGTTCAAAATCAAAGGAGAGTGTTTTTAGGTATTTGAAATTTAACAGCTCTTGGCACAATGACAATTTGGCAAACGGTTTTATTTGAAAAACAATAAACTTTTGTTTTTTCTTTTTTCGTTAATCCGATACCCGCAAGCTCAAAGTTGCAATAGAAATAATAAATTTATATATTCGTCGGTGCCAAAATTCTTAATAACTTTTATACGGAAATTAGCAACATAATTAGTAGGTAATATTTGAAAAATTTGCGACCTCCTCACCTCATCTAACCAAAAAAATACTCAATTGTCACATGCCAAATAACTTTGTTCACTGCCAAATGGCCTCGCATCCAACTCGATTATTTGCATATTAAAATTAATCGAATCGTACAGTGTGATGGAGTTTTAATTTTTTGGATACGCTCCAGCATTCCGTGGACCTTCACCCATAATTTCGTATTTATAGTTGATGCATGTGTCTGAACTAAAAAGCCGTTAAAACTTCTTTTATCCTATCTTTTTTCAATTGCATATAATAAAGAGAGATGCAAACGTTCTAGTGGGCCATGGTTTTTAGTACAATGTTGTCAAATATATATATTTTTTTAATTTCAGAGGTTGAATTGAGCTTTCCATACAGAGATGTCCAAATTAAAAGAAACTTAGACCCAAAAGATGAATATTCTTTAGAGGAAGAAGTAGGAAGGTAATTTTCAATATTCAATTCAAGCAAAAAATATCTATAATCATTTAATTTTAGAGGTAAATTTGGTATAGTCTACAAGTGCAAAGAAAAAACGTCTGGACTATATCTGGCGGCCAAATTTATATCGTGTCCGAAAAAGGAGGACAGACGTAACGTGGAAAGGGAGATAGACATAATGCGCCTACTGCAACATCCAAGACTGATCCAACTTTATGACGCTTTCGATAATGGGAAGGTCATGTGCGTCATACTAGAATTGTAAGTGAAATGAGAATTTTGTCGGAATTATTTGAAACCGAACTAAATTGAGAAAAATATTGTCATTCTACAACGTGATACGCTTGGCAACACTGTTTTATTGACATACAGTTGGTACTACCGGAGACGCGTTTTCCATTTTTTAGATTAGGCAATCTCATGACCTGTTAAACGAAATTCAATATGGAAGTTCAGGTCAGACACCTTGTTGTTTACATTTGAGTTACTGATAAAAATCAATGAAAATAGTTATTTATGATATAAGTGCTAAAAGTGACATTTTATTTTGTGAAAAGGGAAGTTTGGGACACGACGCCGAAGGCGGGTGTTTCTTCCCTTTAAACAAAATAAAATGTCACTTATACCAATATCATACACTACTTTTTCTACAAACGCACTAAAAGTGATTACCTACTTTTAGCACTCAGTGCTAAAAGTAATTACTTTTAACCCCAGTGTCATAATATGGCATTTTAGACACTGACAGCATCTGTTAAAAATTACACTTTTAGTGACGTTTGTAGAAAAAATATTATTTTATTTGCAACCATGTATGCAATCTTGACATTACTGACTTTTTAAAAATTTGGAAGTGTCATTTTACCTATGTCACTTCCCTCTTCGATTTCCATCGCCGATTTCCCTATTCGACTTCCCCCACCGGTTTCCCTCACTCTAATTCATTCACCTTTGCAGGCAACAATGAGAATATGTCAGGTAAAAACTTCAAAACAGTGAATGACACATTTTGGCATGTTTGTTTTATTTTTTTAATATTAAAAAAATTGGCATTCACACGGCCATAGAGCCATATTGGAATAGATTGCCCTTAGAGCAGGTCAATGGAGCAGGTAAAGGTAAAGAGGAGTAGTAACCTAGATTTGGAAAATGAAGCCGTTTTTTTTCAGGTATTTTGGCAGCAAAAAAATGGCGGTATAGGCAATTAGGCTCTCCAAACCACGTGATTTTTCAACATGGCGAGCGTGGAAAATTTAACGTTTGTTTATCTTGAGTTTATTTGGAATTTTTTCAAGCTAATTACAGTTTACTTTGTTATAATATACTTTTTGAGATGCAGAGTGAATATTTAAAGACATAAATGCAGGAAAATCGGGATGTGGGCGAACGGTTAGTTTGAAAAAATGTCCAATTGACATTTTGACCCACAGTTTTCACAAATTTCACATTAATAAGCAAATGAAGGCATAAAAAAGCTTAGATTCTCACAAGTATTTTGAGTCTGGCTTAATTTTAGATGCAGGAACAGTGGTAGTTAAAAATTTTCACGTTTTAACTGAAAACTTTTGAAACTAGAGAGCAATGACAAAAGCCTTGTTACTTTGTTGAAACTACTTCCACAATCAACTACAAGACACGTTTGTGGCATTTTTAGTTAGAAGAAAATACTAATGAAGTCAATAAAATAAAAAAATTAACAGAGTTCATTCACAAAACAACCACAAAATGCACTTTAAAAAGCTTTAATTTCCATACTCTCATATACGGGATAATGAATTTCCGCCACAATGCACTTTTTGACAGGTCGTTGGAATGCCTAATTCAATGCTTTACCTGTATTTTGGTTCCAAATACCTGCCAAATACCTTCAAAAAACAAGGATAATACCTACACATCAATACAGGATTGCTTATCGGCCTCGTTTTTGGGACGTCATCAACTACGTCGTCAAAAATATTATTTAATTTTGATTAACATAATAGGCAAAGAGGAAGATGCAAACGAGATCTAAAAAAGCGTTGTTTTAGAATGTTAATTAATGTACCTACTAAAACCAAGTATTCATAATGAAAAAGCCCGCGCAATCCTAAACTGTGGAGCAAACATCCTACGTCAAAGCGAGAAGCGACACGCTGTCGACGTCATCACTGATTCTTTTGCGTGGTGGGGGCTCGAGATTTGATCTACACAGGCCTTATGAGGATAAGCTATCCTGTAGTAGTAGTAGTGTTTATAGTTTATACGAAGTCAATCCGAATAGCGTAAAAACTGTGTAGGCGGCATATGCGTACAACAGCCTAGGAATTAGATTCTTCTCTTGGAAAATCCTTAATTTTTGCAGATCAATTTTTATCTAGTTCCCGATCTGGAATTTGTTCAAATAAAGAAAATTCAAGAGCCTGGAATAGAAAAAAGTACCAATTTTTTTCCAATTTCTGAATATCTCCGTTTCAAAATAGCATTGCAGAAAATGCAGTCGTAACAAAATATTTCCAGCACCCAGCTACAAAATTAGCCGGTTGACATTGAAAAATCCATTGTTATACCGAAAAAAAAAATAACCGTCCAAAGTTGGCCGTTATCCAAACATTTTTCGCGAAAATTTCATTAGCACCGTTGTTTTTATTTTATATTTTGAAGTTTTCCTGCCTATTTTTAAAAAGTAAATCAAGTAGTGGGAGCTATCAACTGGCCGAAGTGTTATTTTTTGTTAATGAGTCGTTGAAAATGAACTGTTGATTTGTTGATTTTCACTGACTCAATAAATCGGTAATTGGGCGAGTCCATCTCTTGTATAAATGATAGTTTTTGACGTTTTAACAATGGTTTAAACGTCAACCAGTGACATTTGACATTGTTGTTATACTGTATTTTCTCTTTTTTACTCTTATGCAAGAACAGAGACAGCATTAGTCATTTGACCCTCGACAATAATGACATATTACATATACTGTCCTATACAGGCTTGGCTCAATAATATTTCGATAAATTTCAGGATCGAAGGTGGCGAGCTTTTCGAACGAGTCATAGACGACGATTTTATATTGACCGAAAAAGCTTGTACGATTTTCATGAGGCAGATATGCGAAGGAGTAGATTTTATACACAAGCAAAGGATATTACATCTGGATATGAAGGTAAAATTGCTAAACAAAAAAAATCCAACCTGGAAATTTTCCATTTTTAGCCGGAAAACATCCTTTGTCTCACTAAAACGGGCAACCGAATCAAAATCATAGACTTCGGTCTGGCTAGGAAATTCGATCCGAACAAAAAGTTGCAAGTACTTTTCGGTACTCCGGAATTCGTCGCTCCTGAAGTTGTCAATTTCGATGCTATCGGATACGGAACTGATATGTGGTCCATTGGAGTGATTTGCTATGTCTTGTAAGTTCAAACCTTAATAGTTTGCTTCTGTTTTATATAAGAACTTTTCTTTAGATTGTCAGGTTTATCACCCTTTATGGGCCATACAGACGTAGAAACAATGGCGAACGTCACCATTTCCAAGTACGATTTCGACGACGAAGCCTTCCAAAACATTTCCGAAAATGCCAAAGATTTCATCAGGAAATTGCTCATAAAAGATTTAAGGTAATAAGTTTGTGTACGTTTCACGAATCGTTTTCATGTAGGTGGTAGAGCAAGACAAAGACCCAAATTAGCTCATTTTGTTGAAAATACTTTCTAACATATGAATATGGTACTGGATTTTTGATACTACATAATATTTGGATTTATCCCATTTCACTCAGAAGTCAATTTCCTACATGTACTTACAATTTTTACTTATTTTCACTAAATTATTTTTCATATAAATTTATATATTTGTTTTCAAGGCTTCACCCCAAAAACTTTTGTCCATTTTCGATTCAAATATTAGGCAGTCTGCATGGTTTATTACGGTTCTGTTGAATCTTTCGGCTACACCATTCTGTTGTGTATTCTATTTTAATACCTTTTTTGGAACAAAAATCTTTAAATTCACTTGAGACGTGTTCTCCTCCATTGTCACATCTTATTCATTCCAGTTTCTTGTTCAATTTTGCACTAACCATGGCTAAGAAGTTCGGGAAATGTTCAAAAACTTCACTCGTGTGCTTCATTAAATAACAAACTGTAAAATGACTGTAATGATCCATGAAGGTTACAAAATATCTCTTGTCATTATAAAGTTATGGGTGTTATTGGTCCACACACATCGAAAGATACAACTTCTAGAATTGGCTTTGCTTTTCTATCTTCAGTAGGAGTTACATACCTAAGGATCCTTGGTTTGCTTACCTTTTAAGCATGTTTCACAAACTGCTTCATATGGATATTTAGCAGAATGTCCCAGTCGCCTATCTATGCCATAAATTATTATCAATTTCAGCAACAGCTGTATTTTCTTCTGGGTTTCTTAAAAATAAATCTAAAGTGTATAAATTCTTATTTAATTCTCCAGTACTTTCTTTTGATATTGTATCAAGACCTTTTTATTTTCAAACACCACCCTCACACCTTTTTCTTCTAGAATTTTGACAGACAATAAGTCACGAGTCAAACTTTCACACTCAAGGACATTCTCTAAGACAATTGTTCTACCATTTTTAGCCTCAACATACAAATTACCTTTTCTTTTTGTTATAATAACTTCATCCTCCTTGGCTATTCTCATTCGATGATTCACTTCTTCTACATTAGTCAAGTTTTTTTCCACATGATGATTTGTAGCACCGCTGTCAACTAAAAAGTTAACTTCACTTTTTCCTGCTGCATAACAAGTCATTCTGCCCACTTTCTTGTACCCCTTTTTACCACAACCATAGCATCTAAATGGAAACTTCTTTTCATTTTCCTTTTTTTCCAATTTTGTCCCATTGGATTAAAATATGGCTTTAAGTTTCCTTTACATCCTAGAAACACCTCTAACCCTTCAACCTGATATTTTGGTTTATACTTATTTTTATTTTGTCTCCATTCTTCCATCAAGAGAGTACTCTTAATTAATTCTAGAATCACATTATGGACAATACAAAATGTCTATTGTTGTAGTCAAATTTTGATGAGTATCAGATTCTTTGGTATCAGCCATTGCAGATAATAACTGTGTAATAATTCTTGGATCGGTCCACCACAATTCTTTAGTTCTACGACAGTTCGCTTATGTTCTACAAGCAAATCGTTTAAATAACTTTCTCCATCATATCTTAATGTTCTAAGTGTTCTTTGTAAACTTACTTGGTTGACTATACCATACTTCGTATATGTTCCACTCAATTTTAATAACATTTCCTTGGCAGTAGCCTTACCTTTCACCATATCGAGTATATCATCAGCCAAACTATTGACTATCAAGTTACGAGCCACGAGCCTTGACATCATCCCTTTTAAACTTTACATACTCAGATGATTGCCAGCATCACCAGAACTCCATGATGCTCGGGAAGCAACTTCATTCTGAATTTAGAAAATTATTTCCCATCAAATAATTTTATCTGTACTTGGGTACGGGAGGCCATGACTCTTTCCACCTATTTCTTTTCTTGATATTGGATGAGTTCCTCCTAACTGTAATTGTAATCTTCTGTGTAAAAGGTTTTTCAATTTACACCCATTTTATAGCGTTTCCAGTCAGCTTTATATGGGCCCGTAACCATTTGACTTTTCACCTTCTTCCACACAGACCAAGAATGAACTGTTACTATACTGTACTACTGTAACGATTACCATTTCCTAAAACAAAAACTACACTATGACATCATCTATATCAATCTAACCAAACTAGAACATAGTGCATTCAAAACTTAGTCTGTTGAAATTGTTTATTACAACAATTTCCAGACCGACTCTTTCTGTAAGGTTCGAACTATCTGTGTACCACAATGATGCGTTGTTCGCTTGCGGCAACTTTGCGTTCTTCCATAATTGGCGTTCTATTACAACTATTTCATATGAAATGTCAAAATCCAGTGATGTTATCATATGGTCTGTTGGTTTACTTTTGCAGTCGAGTTATATAGATTGAAGGATGCGTAAGTGGCAATTCAGATCACCAGGTTTAAATCTTTTTGTCTGAAATAGCCTATAGGCATCTATTCTTGAGCCTTTTTCACATATAGGTGAAGAGCAGGCATGGTCAGCAATGCCTCTAAGGCTGCGATGGGGCAGGTTATTACTAGACAGATTAGCCGTTGTACTTTACGTCGACTGTTACCAACGTATTTGGTAAATCCAATGTATCATTTTTGGTCTTTTTTCCCATGTTTTTCCCTCGAGTTTACGGTATGTCCAATTGGCCGCCGTAGCTCGTGATATTCCCCCTATTTCTAAGAAATATAATCACTTATTCGACCGAAGATGTCGCAATTTCCTTGATTATCGGGGTCAACAGAAGTCGATCAACATGTGAGGCCGCATCTATCAAAGGATGCCGAATACTCGTGTCGGTCATAAATAATGGTTTTTGTATGAATCTGTTACGTTCAAATTTTGCCTTAATTGGTACGTAACTGAGATTTCGAATGAATTCGGTAATTAATTCAGGTATTTGTGAGGGTATTTATGAAGCTTTATACCTGAGGATTAATATTTTTCAGTGATTGATGGGTTTTTCATTGGATTTTACTAGATTTCTACCTCTTTGATTGGATGCGAAACAATATCTAGTTGTTGAACAAGGGTATATTTTTCGAGGTAATAATGAGTAAATTCTTTGTATTCAGATGACAGGGTAGTTTTAGGATAATAAAACCCTACTGTTAGGATCGAAATCTATTTTACTTAGCTTACGAAAGTTGTCTAAAAGGCCCTAAATGTCGATGAAAAGGTTTGTTTACTTCCAAATAAATATCATTTGGCAACACTTACCAGTCACGTATTTTCCATTATTGAAAATTCTGAAATATCACACATCACTTTCACAGCCTGTAAATAACTTTTCCACCCTTATTTCCACTATTTTTCACATTTTCCCGGTTATTTATTTCCGCAGAATAAGTGTGGTTAACGGACACTTGTGGATTCGTTTCAGGCAGCGCTGTTGTCGAGGTTTCTTGACCACTGTGGGTAATGGAGTTACTGTAGTTATGACCACTGAACGACTGGTCATTTTGATAGTTTCTGGACTAAAGACTGGGTAGATGCTGATTAATAAGTTACTAATTAAATAATTAGTGTTAGGGGAGAAAATTGGATAACGATTTTGGGTTTCGCTTGTCATCAATGTGGTCTGGGTTGTTCCGTTCCAAGCTGATTGTTTCGTTTTCCTGGGCAAGACCGGAAATTTGGCACCAGAGGGCATCTTGGAAAAAAATTGAATTCTGGGGAATTTTTCATAGGAGCTCACCTAAAGTCCGTATTACATATGTGTATTTATCCGTGTATTTCTTCATGTAGTTCAGGGTGCCAACATTATTTTGTTTTTCATAATGCTGATTTATGTTGCGTTTGAAGTTTTTCAGTTGTCACCCTGAACTACATGAATAAATTCACAGAAAAATACACAGATATCATAAGGGCTTTACAGATTGCTGAAAATAAGGTCGTTCTTTTTAATTCGCACCTCGAGCAAACAACAAGTGGCAGATTTTACCAGCGGTCCTCTTTGCTAAGTTCCTTGGAACATCCACCTTTTGTGGGATTTTGGAGGCGTTGGAAACTCAAGTGGTTGCTGGCTTAATTATTGGTTTTGGGGTGAAACTTGGTTTTGGTCGTAAGTCCCCGTATTTGTAAGCCAACCACTCGGAATTTTCTGGAGACAAAGGTCTACGCCATTTTGTTGAATTGTCGATGCGAGAAGAGAGCACGTTTTGTTCAACTAGCCCAATTTGTAACCAGGTATATTTGAACGTTTTTATCAATCTGAATTTACCTTTTTCGTTATCGATATTTAGATTAGCATATCAGTAATTTTTGTAAATATTTGGGATTCTATAAAAAAAAAGACAATTTGACCTCCACGAGTGGCCATTTGTCAGAAAAAAAAAACTCATTGGTCATTTCCAAAAGGGACATTATTGGGCTTATTAATTAAGGGGAATTGTTTTCAAAAGGAAACTTACGGGTTTCAGGGGATTTTCCTATATTAATTTTATAATGGATGTTTCAGACTGCAGACAGGACCACAAGGGGGTGATGTACCCGTTCATTTATTAATGTTTCTTAATGATTTTTTTTAAAATCGTATTTCTTATATTTAACTTGATACATTTCCACGTTGTTTTACTGCCTTAATTATTAAAATGGGTGTACTGCACCAATGATTTTTAATTGACTATATTTAAGGTGACATTTTTGTACAAACCCGCCCCGGTATACCATGGTATAAGCGTGCACAGGTTTTAATTAATATTATTATTCTTCTATTCCTTAATTGTTCTCTTCTACTCTCATTGGGGTAAGGTGGTCTAACATTTATTGATAATTCTTGAATTTATTAGAGTATATTATGAGACCATTACAAATTGGTCCTTGCTACCTTTTGGTAATTTTGATATTTACATTTACATTTAATATTAATATATACTGTGGTATTTTATATAGCATATTGTCTTTGTAATGCAATTTCAGGTCTAAACATACCCCCCCAGAAAATATTAAATAGTTTTATACTCATTTTTTTTTATATTTGACTCTTATTTTACCCCTACCTACCTCAACCAAACTAAGGTAAAGTTGTGTTGAGGTTCAGGTATCTCGTGATGCTTCTTGATTGTAAATAATTTATTAGGGCCGCCTCGTAGAAAAAACAAAAATACTTGCTTGGGAGGTTTCTCGATGACTTAAATTAATTCCGACTTCCAGCTCTTATTAGTGAAATAGTGTAACACAACGGGTAACTACTATGATCTTCTATGGACACTTACAGATGTTTCTCAGAAATAACCAACTCTGAATCAAGTTCACTAAATCCAGCGCCGTAGTCATATCCCCACTCTCTCTCTCTCATTTCTCTTATTTCACAAAACTAATTTGGGCTGGCCGAAAAATAAAAGCTTGCTTACTGCGCATGCAATAATATCCTTATCCCTCCAAAAAAAAAACAACTAACAAAGGGTCTTTGTCTTTTTTTTCCAAATCTAGCCTCCGAATGTCGGCTGAGGATTGCTTGCAGCACGAATGGCTGAAAAAGAAAACCAGACAGCGCACTAATTCGATGGACGTCGCCAAAGACAATCTCAGACAGTTCGTGGAACGCTGGAACGAACACCCGAATTCGCCGTACGTTTTCGAGGTGCTGGAACAAGGTATTGAACCAGATCTCGATACTGGAAGCGGTAGTTTTAGTGAATCGTCGCATTCGTTAGTGGGTGATTCACCTTCACCTTGTGGCAGTTTAGAATCTAATCCAGATAACATTTTCATTGATACTAGTAATAATGATTTGTTTATGAAACCACTATCATCAATATTAATACCGTCATCGTTCGAGCACACCAGAAGATCATCAGATTCTACTTGTTTTGTCAAAAATCAAGATATCACCGAGAGAATAAATTTAGCCGAAGAAATCCGGAAGCTTTCCGATAAACTCTTCAAACTATCAAATATCGACACTAGTTTAACCAACCATAGCTTTCGTGACCATAATACTGCACCTATAAACATCCATCTACCAAAAGACCACCCTAAAAGTCCAGAATGTTCTATTCCTTGGCGTAGAACGAAATTAAAAATCAACCCCAAAACGAGCAGAGACGTACCGTTGAGCTGTCGAAACATCTACAAAAAAACTGACGAAGATGTTTTTAACAAAGAGAAACACAGCGAGGCGAATGGCACTAAAGATCTTTTATTGAGGCTGCTGCAAACGTGGGATGGTCCAGCTAAAGGGGCCAGTAGACCTGGTACTAGACACGGATCTGTTTCGGAGTGGACCGACGATGATACTTTGGGTCAGAGGACCATAAGTTCGTTGAATAGTTTTTTTCAAAGTCGGTCGGTTAATAAGAAAATAACGCCATTTCATTTTAATAAGTCCTAATCTTGGAAGGATTGTTGTATATCCAGAGTGCAATTCGTTGGTAAGAGGTTGAACCAATGTATATGGTAAAGACTGTTCTGATACATCTTTTTGGAATGAAACAGACATTTAAGTGTTCAAAGACATTTTCATTGTATTTTAATGTAAAAAATCTGTTCAGTATTTATTCTGTTTAATTAGTTATTGTGTCCATCTTAATCGCTGCCATTAATATGCATTTCTATGTGGTTTATGTTGGGTTCACATTCAATAAAAATTATTTATTCGATCATATTTTGTGCATTATTTGGTGTCAAGAAGATAGGAGATATTGAACCCGAAGGTAAATATAATTACTTGTTTTTTAGCTTATTCCAATACCTACTTGCTAGTAGGCTGATAGGATAAAACTGAGTTTATCAATGGGATATTGGCTTTAGGATTTAATGTATATTTCTCCTGAATCCTTTTGAAAGGACCCTGCCCAAAGTATACGGAGATTGTGTTTATGTCAGAATTGGCTGAATTTTGTATATAATGTAGATCACGCCTTCCTGATTAAAATTTACCATTGCACCGATCCTGAAAAATGATTCCTTTTTGAGAAAATTAATTTCATAGGTAGCAAAAGTAAAACGCTTGGACATACAAATAAGTGGATTTTTGTGGAACTTATGGGTGGACCTCTGCGGGACGAGCGCAGCGAGTTCTGCAGCCATCTACTTACCAATATACTGTTGAACTGTTCAAATAAGACACTCACCTGAAACGTGTAGCTTTTGAACTAATACAGTGGCGGCTCGTGACTATTTCAAGTGAAGAGGCTAAAAAAAAATTAATTACAGTAAAGTAGGTAACCACTGCGCAGTAGGCAAAATTTGTTTTGGGATGCCCATGCCCTCAATAATTTATTTTAAATTCAATAAAAACCATGAATACTCGAGAAAATGTTTCTTTTCTTATATATAGTATATATTTTTAGAGTTAATTTTGACGAGCTGGTATTACTCCGGCCCTTCGGGCTCGCGTATAAATCCGGCCCTTCGGGCTCGCGTATAAATCCGGCCCTTCGGGCTCGTGTATAACTCCAGCCCTTCGGGCTCGCGTATAACTCCGGCCCTTCGGGCTCGTATTACTCCAGCCCTTCGGGCTGGTATCACTCCGGCCCTTTCAAGCTTGTATTACTCCGGCCCTTCGGGCTCGCGTATAAATCCGGCCCTTCGGGCTCGTATTACTCCAGCCCTTCGGGCTGGTATCACTCCGGCCCTTTCGGGCTTGTATTACTCCGGCCCTTCGGGCTCGCGTATAATTCCGACCCTTCGGACTCAATTTTTTGGGGGAGGCTTAGCCTCCCCTGCCTCCTCTGACGAGCCGCCACTGAACTAATAAGAAAAATTCACAACTGAGTGAATCAGGTAAGTATTGTACTTGAACAACATATTGATGGGGTCCACCCATAAGTTCCGCCAGAATTCAACTCGTTTGTACTTGAACAACTTGCCACATTATATTACAAGTTTGGTAAAGTAACATTACTAATTCCTGTTATAGGCAAATTGACAAAAAGTGGATAATCGTAATCTTACAAATTTTGACTTTATATAATAAGTTATTGTTCAAGTATAAATAAGTGGATTGTTGAGGAATTTATGGGTGGACCACTTCCGCAGCCATCTACTCACCAATATACTGTTAAATTGTTCAAATAAGACACTCACCTGAAACGTGTAGTTTTTGAACTAATGAGAAAAATTCACAACTGAGTGAATCAAGTTAGTATTTGAACAACATATTGTTGAATAGATAGCTGGGTCCACCCATAAGCTCCGCAACAATCCACTCGTTTTTACTTGAATAACTTGTCACATCATATTACTGGTTTGGTAAAGTAACATTACTAATTCCTGTTAAAAGGCAAATTAACAAAAAGTGGATAATCTTACAAATTCTGAGTTTATATAATAAGTTATAAGTTATTGTTCAAGTACAAATAAGTGGATTGTTGCGGAACTTATGGGTGGACCTCTGCGGGACGAGCGCAGCGAGTTCCGCAGCCATCTACTCACCAATATACTATTGAACTGTTCAAGTAAGACATTCACCTGAAACGTGTAATTTTTAAACTAATGAGAATAACGCACATTTGAGTGAGTCAGTTTAGTATCGTAATTAAACAACATATTGATGAATATATGGCTGCGGAACTCGCTGCGCTCGTCCCGCAGAGGTCCGCCCATAAGTTTCGCAACAATTCACTCATTTGTACTTGAATAACTTGTCACATTATGTTACTAGTTTGGTAAAGTGACATTACTAATTCCTATTGGCAAATTGACAAAAAGTGGATAATCATAATCCTACAAATTTTGATTTTATATAATGAGTTACTGTTCAAGTACAAATAAGTGGATTATTGCGGAACTTATGGGTGGACCTCTGCGGGACGAGCGCAGCGAGTTCCGCAGCCATCTACTTTCCAATATACTGTTCACTATTCAAATAAAACAGTCGCCTGAAACTTGTAGTTTTTGAATTAATGAGAATAACTGACATTTGAGTCAGGTTAGTATCATACTTGAACAACGTATTAATGAATAGATGACTGCGGAACTCGCTGCGCTCGTCCCGCAGAGGTCCTCCCATAAATTCCGCAAGAATCTACTCGTTTGTACTTGAATAACTTGTCACATTATGTTACTAATTCCTATTGAAAGGCAAATTGACAAAAAGTGGATAATCTTTCAAATTCTGACTTTATATAATAAGTTATTGTTCAAGTACATACAATGTAACACAAATAAGTAAGCTTCTGGCGCAGTGTTATGCTACGTATAGTTATTTTTCAGGATTATTGCAATGGTAACTTTTAATCAGAAAGGCGTGATCTACACATTACATACAAAATTCAGCCAATTCTGACATAAACACAATTTCCGTATACTTTGGGCAGAGTCCTTTCTCAATACTCCCCGAGAGTTGCCTTCCTTATACTTTTCCAGATCTTGTCAAACTTTCTTAAAACTCCCCTTCTTTCTTGGGTAAATTTAAAAAGTTTTATCTCATAGACTTTCTTTTAAATTTCTCCAACTTTTTTCAAACAATCTTCGACTAATCAATACCTATTCATGGCTTCTTTGAACTTCTCCAGTCCAGATTTCAAGTGAAAGTTTAGCCTTTCCAGTTGATTATCCCTTGCATGGAAAACTTCCTCTATTATTTAATGATTCTTTCCCGTTCTTCCTAAAACTTTATTTGAGTTTTTCCAAAAGCTCTTAGAGCTTTCCTTATAATTTTCCATAGGTATGTACGTACTTTCTCAATTTTTAATTTTTGGAACTTTCTCAATAGCTCCTGAGAGCTGCCTTCCTTATACTCTCCCTGATCTGATCAAACTTTCTTGAAAACTCCCCTTCCTTCTTGGGTAAAGTTAAAAAGTTGATATTACTTTCAGACTTCCTTTGAAATTTCTCCAACTTTTCAAATAATAGCTTCACATACTGTTTCAGATTTTTCCAAGCAATCCGCAATACCCACTGATGCCTTCTTTGTACTTCTCTTGATTTCAAGTGAAAGTTTAGACTTTTCAGGTTATTCCCTTGCATAGAAAACTTCCTCTATTATTTAATAAATATTTCTCGTTCTTCCTAGAACTGTATTTGAGCTTCCTCCAAACTCTTCGAATTTTCTTTGTAATTTCCCATAGGTACCTTCGTACTTGTCTCAATTTTTGATTCTTTGAACTTTCTCAATAGGTACTTCCTAAGAGTTGCCTTCCTCATACTTTTCCAGATCTTGTCAAACTTTCTTCAAATTTCCCTTCTTTCTTGGGTAAAGTTAGAAAGTTTTATCTCATATTACTCTCAGGCTTCCTTTGTACTTCTCCAGTCCAGATTTCAAGTGAAAGTTTAACCTTTCCAGGTGATTATCCCTTGCATGGAAAACTTCCTCTATTATTTAATAATTCTTTCCCGTTCTTCTTAAAACTTTATTTGAGTTTCTCCAAAAGCTCTTATAATTCTCCATAGGTACGTACTTTCTCAATTTTTAATTTTTGGATATTTCTCAATACCCCCTGAGAGCTGCCTTCCTCAAACTTTCCCTGATCTGGATCAAACTTTCTTGAAAACTCCCCTTCCTTCTTGGGTAAAGTTAAAAAGTTGATATTACTCTCAGACCTCCTTTGAAATTTCTCCAATTTTTCAACTAATATCTTCACATACTGTCTCAGATTTTTCCAAACTTCAATTCCTACCTTTTTTGTACTTCTCCTGATTTCAAGTGAAGTTTAGACTTTCTGGGTGATTTCCCTTGCATAGAAAACTCTATTATTTAACAAATTAATAGGTATATCTCGTTCTTTTTAGAACAGTATTTAAGCTTCCTCCAAATTCTTAGAATTTTCTTTGTAATTCCCCATAGATAGGTAGGTAGGTACCTAGTTTCTCAATTTTTTATTCTTTGAACTTTCTCGATATTTCCTAAGAGTCGCCTTCTTCATGCTCTCCCAGACCTTGTAAAACGTTCTTAAAACTCCCCTTCTTCCTTGGGTGAAGCTAAAAAGATCTGATATTACTATCCTTCCTTTGAAATTTCTCCCATTTCCTTAATTTTTTTAATGAAAACTCCGCATACTGTTTCAGATTTTTCCAAACAATCGTGGATTTTCCTAATACCTACTGATGTCCTCTTTGTACTTCTCCAGATTTCAAGTGAAAGTTTAGACTTTTCAGATGATTCCCTTGCATATAAAACTTTCTCTATTATTTAACAAATATTTCTCGTTCTTTCTAGAACTGTATTTGAGCTTCCTCCAAATTCTTAGAATTTTTTTGTAATTCCCCATACGTACCTACCTACGTACTATATCAATTTTTGATTCTTTGAATTTTCTCGATACTTCATAAGAGTCGCCTTCTTCATACTCTCCCAAACCTTGTAAAACTTTCCTAAAACACCCCTTCTTTCTTGGGTGAAGTTAAAAAATTCTATCTAATATTACTATCAGATTTCCTTAGAAATTTCTCCAATTTCCTTATTTTTTTTTTAAATAATAACTTCACATACTGTCTCAGATTTTTCCAAACAATCCTGAAGTTCCTCAATACTTGTTGATGTCTTCTTTGTACTTCTCCAGATTTCAAGTGAAAATTTAGACTATCCAGGTGATTCCCTTGCATAGAAAACTTTGTCTATTATTTAACAAATATTTCTCGTTCTTTCTAGAACTGTATTTAAGCTTCCTCCAAATTCTTAGAAAGTCCGTCTATTTTAATCTGATACTTGAAATGAATGTGAGCTGGTGGCACCCTACATTAGAACTTCAATGGTCACCTGACGTCACACCTGTTTTTGCCATATACATACTTCACCCCCTCACTCCTCATACGAAAAGTGTCAGATAAAAATCGACGAACAATACCTACGTACTATATCAATTTTTGATTCTTTGAACTTTCTCAATACTTTCTGAAAATCGCTTTCTTTATACTCTGACAGACCTTGTAAAACTTTCCTAAAACTCCCCTTCTTTCTTGGGTGAAGTTAAAAAGTTCTATCTGCTAAGACTTCCTTTAAAATTTCTTCAATTTCCTTGATTTTTTAATAATTACTCCACATACTGTTTCAGATTTTTCCACACAATCCTGGATTTTCTTAATACCTACCTACTGATGTCCTCTTTAATACTTCTCCAGATTTCAAGTAACTTTTCAGGTGATTCCCTCGCATAGAAAACTTTCTCTATTATTAAACAAATATTTCTCATTCTTTCTAGAACTGTATTTAGGCTTCCTCCAAATTCTTAATTTGTAATTCCCCATAGGTACCTACGTACTTTCTCAATTATTGATTCTTTGAACTTTCTCAATACTCCCTAAGAGTTGCCTTCTTCATACTCTCCCAAACCTTGTAAAACTTTTATAAAACTTCCCTTCTTTCTTGGTTGAAATTAAAAAGTTCTATTTGATAATACTCTTTAGGCTCCTGTTGAAATTTCTCCAATTTCCTCATATTTTTTTAAATAATAACTCCACATACCAACTGTCTCAGATTTTTCCAAACAAGCCTGGACTTCCTCAATACCTACGGATGCCTACTTTGTACTTCTCTTGATTACAAGTGGAAGTTTAAACTTTCCAGGTGATTCCCTGCATACTTTCTCAATTTACCCGGACTTCTCCAACACTTTTTCCTTAGGATTTTTGGATATCCTGGTAATAAAAAAGACATTATAGCTACTCAGCGCGAAATTACTTTTTCTACAGTGCTGTTCCAGACATCTAAAGGTAAGTTTGTGTGTTATCTGTTATCATTTTTGGTTTCAATACATCATACACAATCAAACAAAAAGTGTGAACTTACAAATTGAAATTCTGTATAATTTCTGATCAATTTTCCAGTTCCCGAATGACGTCAGAAGAAGCAGTCAACCATCCTTGGTTAGCGGCATCGAACGTTTGCTCAGAACAAGCTCTGAGTACGTCAAAATTGAAACGATACGTTATCAAGAGGAGATGGATCAAGGCCGTCAATACTATTGTAGCATTGAAACGGATGGGAGCTAAAATCGATACCGATATGATCCATATGGATAAGAAATAGACCTAAAATATTTCCATAAACTGCATTTTTCCTGTAAAATATTATATATTTTTTTTTGTCCCTGAAATCTGAAATTCAACCTATTTTTTGCCTTAATTACAATTACTTATTTAAACTGCTTTATATTATGATGTAATGGATTCCACAATAACATTGAATTTATCCCAACCTTTTGTCCATCTCCTATTGCTATTATGTTGTGTAATATAAAAACACCATTTCCAATTATTGTAACTTTACATAACTGTAGAGATGTAATTAATGTACAATATTTGTACAATTTTATTATGTATTATCGTACCACATTCTAGTCATAATGTTATTCTCTTTTAAGCACAAAATTAATTTAATAATAAAGGAATGTTTTATTGTGCACCATTAGTTTTTAAAATAAACTATTTAATTACCAAACGAAAATAATTTATTTTTTTATTCTTTTTAAGTATAAAAATTAAAACAAATCACAAACAAGTATTTAGGTGCTCATAGACAACTTTAACATTTATAAACTCAAATTAATTTTCTTTTAACATGTTTAAATAAAGAAAACTTTGATTCCTCAATCTGCATCAACGTACAAATATTCCTCCAAATCAACATAAACATTATATTTAACTTCCTTATCTACAGAATCCCATGACTCTTCCCCGACCCAAGTAGCATCTTCTGAATCATAGCCTTTATCACATTCCGCCATTTCTTTCGCAATTTCTTCACTCTCCTCTTCTCTATCAGATAATTTTGACTCACGATCTGGATGAATTTCAACGATTTTAATACCATCTTCGCCTCGATTTTGATAATGAAATTGTAGCCTTAAATCGCGACGTTTCTCCGAGTATAATTTATAATCGAAATCCTTTTCGAGTACATCAACATGATTATAATCAAAATCAACTAAATAAATATCGTTGACTAAATCATTTTCAAAATCTTCTAAATTATTATCATATAAATCTAAACATTCCAAACTATTTGGTAATGACGTAATAAATTCAATGCGGTTTTTATATGCTATAATTGTTTTTAAATTCGTGAGCTCATTTATTTTTTCAGGCAGTGCAACTAAATCATTGCAAGACACATCCAAGAATTCCAAATTAACAAGATACTCAATTCCTTCTTCAGGAAACCAAGATAAGAAATTATTAGTTATGTGCAATTCTTTTAGAGACTCGATCCAAAATAACCCTTCAGGACATAAAACAAGATCCAGAAAATTCATTTTTAATACTTGCAAATTTCTACAGCGCGTTTTCTGAAACAATTTATCTACATCTTTAAATTTGTTTTTATATTTTCTATCACAATCTAAAGATTTGTTACTTATGTCCAAATAATTTAGATTTTTTATTAATTTTATCCATTTGAAATCAGTATCTATCAAGCAAGCGTTTCTCAATTCCAACTTCTCCAGTTTCATTGTAAAAAAATTACAACAATGATCTAGAAACTTGAAATTTGTTGATTTATTATCACAGTAGCTCAGTTTTGCTAGGTTTCTACACACAAAGTTTAGAAACCAAGAAGGCACGTTTACAAACTTATTGTTATCTAGGTTCAAGGATTGTAATTTTGCCACACAGTTTGGTGTAGCATCAAAACTAGATATTAAATTAAAGGACAAATCTAGATATTCCAAGTGATTTAATCCGTTGTAAAAAAACTCCGGAATGGTCGTGAATTTATTGTGAGACAGATTCAAGTGCTTCAAATGGGGCAGTTTTAAGTTTTTCGGAGTATCCGTTAAGGCACAGTAAGAAACGTCCAAGCAGGTTATTATTTGGTTGGTATTTTTCAACAAATAAATGCTTTCGAGTGGGTTAATAGACAATGGCATCAGCACTTTCTCTGAGTTTTCATCGGTTTGTTTGCGTCTTTTGATGGCCAGATATTTATCGTCGAGTATTCTCAACATTATTTCGTATTGGTGTTGAGCTGGACCTATGGGAAAAATTGAAAATCGATGTTTTAAAGCCAGGTTTATATTCTAAAATTAAGAATTAAACTAAACTAAAAATTAGGATAATTTGATGCTGTCGTTCATACCTAAAATTAAATTAAAATAAAAATTAAATTAAATTTAAAGTTGGTCGACATTCAATTAAAAATTAAGAATTAAGAAGATCGTTCTAGTTTGTACTCATTCGTTTAGTCAGGCTCAGTGGTCCAACGCATGACACCATTATCATGTAGTGGAGAAAAAGTGCCAATGAGAATGTGAAGTTTATTTTGCGATATCATTTCAAATAAAGTCAAAAAAATAAAAACTATTCCGGCCAAATTCGGTTTTTTATGGATATCTTCGGAATCATTCGGATATCCGAAATATCGAAACATGACGCCACTGAGCTCAGTAATGCGCAACTTTTTCTAAATTTAACCAACCCGGTATCTCTTATGGTCACGGAGATCCCTGTAAAGTGGACTCCCTGTATATGAGGACATTCATGTTTTTTCTATCCCAGGCATTTAGATTTTTTTTTTTTTTAATTTCAACAAACTCAAGAGCCGGTAATGGATGAAAATTGAGCTGAAAAAATTGAGAAATAGAGAGGAATTCAAAAAAAAAAATTCGTTGACAAATAAAGATGAAAGTATTTTGTTTCAATTCAAAGCTTTCGAATTTTTTTCTATTTAGAAAAATTTAGGAAAAAACGTGTCGGGAATAGACAAAAATTGAGACCTAAATGTCAAATTGAATAGAGCTGGGCTCGGATTCTAAACCCACGATTCGATAGTATCGTCAATATAAAAATAGATAGACGATACTATCGAATCGTGACTTCGTAAAGCTTCGGAATCCAGGCCCTGAGTCCTTATTCTTGAAACAGGGGAGAAGCGTTTCCAGGAGAACGAGTGTTTCGTCTTTTTCAATGATATGTAACAGATAATATAAGTAACAAAGACGGAACACTGGTTCTCCTGGAAACTCTACTCCCCTGTTTTAAGAATAAGGACCCAGAAATGCTTGGGTACCTATTCCACCCATACAAACTTAAACTAGATGAGGGCTCATCGATTATATCGATTATCATTAATGACTATAATGGCCGTTTGCACCGACCTTTTAAGGTAGGTTTAACGATAATCAACGATTAAAGTAACACGAGAAGTGACATTTTTACATGTAAAATGATCGGTGCAAACCAAGGATGATACACACTATTACTAGAGGATAGCCTATCCTCATAAGGCCTGTGTGGAACAAATCCCCCCACCACGCCATCACCAAATCACCAGTTGTGACGTAGGCAGCATGTTATTTCTCGCCTTGACGTAGGCTGTTTAAACAGCTGACGACTTAGTTATGACGTTGGAAATGGTGGTCAACTTCTTGCGGCATCGCAAAAAAGTTAAAATAATTTAACTTTGGCGAATAAACTAGCATAACCTCACTTCCTCCCAGATTATTCGCCAAAAAGTTAAATTATTTTAACTTTTTTGGGATGCCGCAAGGAGTTTTTCCCGCCACTATCATTTCAAATAATTTGGACCAATAGGAACAATTCCGCAGAAAAAAAGTTGGCATTTCGCGATTATGAGGACTTAGCTTATGGCGGCGATTACCATTACCAAAAACGAGGCCGATAAGCAATCCTGTAGGTGTGTATCATCTTTGGGTGCAAACGGCCATTAAATAATATTGTTGTTTGAAAGGGGGGGGCTTCTATTTCTAAATCCAGACTCGCAGTCAAAAAAAAAAATCAGGACTAGCATTCTGCAACGAATAGACATATTTTCGCTCTATTGACGTCCCCTCTCCATTCATTTCGAAAAGAGAGAAGAAGACAGCAAGTGCCAGCGGAATATCGTATCGAAAGTATTGATATTTTCTGATATTAATATCGATATAAACAAAGAGTACTTTCCTTTCCTTGCGTTCGGTATTTTGCTCAAAAAGCAGAGCGTGCTGACGAGGAGACGCAATCACGTGACCAGCGAGCGCACAGAGCAGTTAAGGGCGCTCTAAATTTCAATAAACGAACGCGAATGAGCCGGACCTGCACCGAGTGCACTTTTTAAATAAACGGACGGTAAATTCAAGCTCAGAACAAAATACCGAACGCACACGGTTTGAATTAATTTAATTTATGGAAGTATAAACATGAACTGCATCAAATATTCTTAATTTAGTTTAATTTTTAATTTAATTCTGAATTTTCGATATGTAAATGAGCTATTCTTACCATTTAAGTTATCTGGATTGCAAGTCATTTGGAATAGGTATTTTGAAACAATAATATAAACTACGACAAAATATTTAAACAACGAATACACTTAATAATATTAAAAATAATAGAGTCTTTGACTCAAATTAAGAACTAAAATCTTTGGAAGTTGTTAAAAGGTTGAAAAGTGCCGGGATTACGATGAATCAAAATTAGGTTAAGTGTTAGCCTCACTTTTCTTCTTTTTTTCGTTTGACAGCGTTTATTAAAAAAAGTTGATGGGAAAATTAATATCGATATTTCGTAGTTTCGATATTTAGTAATTTCGATCTTATTTTATTCGATATTCTTCACTTCCAGTACAAAAAATGAAAGGCCGTGGCCGAGCAGTAGAAATATTCCACGTTAAGGACTCTGAAGGCGATTTCGATTTGATTCCACTTCTGCACTCAGTGCACCCTAAACAAGGAGTGCGTTCGAAATCACTCTAGGGCGTCACACCGAGTGAACACCAGCCGTTCGAAAATGAATTGGTATAAACTCCGGTTGACTTTCACGTTAGTTCGAAAATAACCGGGGTGCTACCCAGTGTGCACTGTTTCTTAACCAACTCTGCCGCTAGGTAAATTTCACTCAAAATTCAACCCTTTTTCGAACGCACTCTAAAGCACGTTTATCCGTGCGTTCGTTATTTTTGTCTGAGTTCTCCGAGCATGACTTTACCGTTCGTTTATTCAAAAAGTGTACTCGGTGCAGCCTCATTCGCGTTCGTTTATTAAAATTTCTGGCACTTTTATTTAGCGTTCAACTGCTCTGTTCCCTCGCTGGTCACGTGATTACGGCTCCGCTCAGCACGCTCTGCTCTTCGAGCAAAATACCGAACGCAAGGTATCTATCAACTTTCAGCGCACTAGGTTCAAAAATGCAACCCTGCACTACACGAATACCGCACTAGCACCGCATTAAATTCCATTCGAACTCAACTCCTGACATGACGTTCAGAGGGTGACGTTCTATCATTGAAAAGTAGACAGTTTACTCGTTCAGCAGAACCAAGTGTTTAACTCTTTTCACGTGGCTCCGGTTTAACTAACCGGGTTACAAAACGGTTAGAGAACTGACATACCGTTTTCTAACCCGGTTACAAAGTAACGTGATGGATACCTACCACTCGAATTTGAGCGGTATGTTGCGGTTTGTTAAACCGGAGCCACGTGAAAAGGGTTATAGAAATCCGTTCTGGTTCTGGTGAACGTAGTCAAATAACATACTACAGGGTTAAAAATTCTAGCTAAAATACGTCTAAATATTAATTTACAGGGTCCTTATTCTCGAAACCCGGGAATAGCGTTTTCATGAGAACGAAAGGGTCTGTCTTTGTCAGTGTTATGGAAATATAAATATGCGCGACGAAGACAGAACCTTCGTTCTCTTGAGAACGCTGCTCCTCCGTTTCGAGAATGAGGAACCTGGAAGGGGGTTCTAGAATTACGATTCGACACACGGCTCGAAAACGGAATCCTTCCTCTCTGATTTCGATTTGACAAACCGGATACCGTTCTGTCCCAATTGATATGTTCGTTTTGAAACACAAAGCGCTCGGAGCATCTTTCATCTTTTTTCCTTTTGATGAGAAGAACAGGGACGAAAAAGATACATCAGCGTACCCTATTTTAAGCGTCATGTTTATGATGCACCCATAAGTTTGCTGGTGCTTGAGAAGGCAGGAGAGAGGAACAACGAACAGTTCGCTGCGCGAAACTCTAAAGCACTGGAACGCCGATTTACACCCTGGAGGCCAATTCATATCAAATTTCGCCCCTGGGGCGCTCTAGAGCAGCTCCAGAAGTGCCGAAAGTGCGTCACTGGAAAACGACTGTGAATGGTTGAACCGTAGCATGATGAAAACGCTTATCGAATGCATCCAAATTTTTGAAAGATATCAGTTTTGATTGAGGTTATGTTAAACTTTTAAAAAAATTAAATTTTTTGAAAAATAATGTTTTTCACAAGGATTCTTCTCAAGAGAGTAAAAGCCAAGTAAGTAAAGCTATTTCTCATGATTATCCAGTTTAGTTCATTAATAAATTTTCAGAGATATAATGGTACAAATGGAAAGTTTAGTTAGCGGACACACATTCAACAAAATCAGACCCAGATTAGCTGATAAATTGGAATTAATACGATTTGATCCATTTAGTAAGTAAATTTAATAATAAACAGTACATAAGGAATTAAAACATCAATAATTATTTTTCTTTTTATTTCAGTTCGAAAGGAGTCCGTGTATAGAGAAAAGAAGAAGATTCGTAGCATGTAGACACTATTTTGTAACTTTTTCATTGTTAGTTTTTTAATAAATTATTGTAGTATTACACTTTTGATTAAATTCAAACATCAACCCCAAGAGTTTGATTAAAAATAAATTATAAGATGTTGAACTTTATTAATAACTACAATACAATAATACACAAAAGAAAATACATACTTTTTAAACAAATTCAAATAAAAAAAGTAAAAATAACTGAAATTACATGCCCTAAAATCTACTTATAATGATAATAATAAATGTTGAATACTTATACTACTGAGTTTTCCTAGCATAGTCCGGATTAGGAATAACATAATCCTGTGTACTAAGCAACTGGGCCGCATTCTTATTAATATACTTCAAAAAATCTTGTATGTTTTGTATCAGAATTTGTACGCTCTTCTCGTCCAATGGAGTGTACGCCAACAACGGTCCTAGCCTAACAAATAGCCTCAATAGATGCATGGCACCGTAGATCTCAGTCAAGGTTTTATCCGGATTGTCTCTCACCAGATTTGTGTATTGGGCACGTTCTGACTTGTACAACAGTTGTGTGCTCAATGTAATGTTGAAATATTCTTTGATGCCTCTGATTGTTTCAATTGCAGCACTTTCTTTGCTCATGTTGTTTGATTTTACTGATTTTTTATAAGTCAAATAATTGTCAAACAATTGGCTTATTGTTAGTTTGGCTGGGAGATTTACTAGTTTTTTCTGCCTAGTAATCATATCCCAATCATCCACCAGCCATGGTTTTAGTTCTTGAGTCATTTTGATTCTTATTTCCACTTTTGTTTGATACTGCTCTTCAGATTCTACTGTAGAATCAAGTTTGGCCCGTTTGCGTTTTGGCGCATCAGAACTAGACTCTGGTCCGCTGGGAGTGGGCGTAGGCGTAGCCAAATCTCTTTTAGTGCCTTTTCCACCTTTTGCTATGTCAGATATCGGGGTGCTGGCCCTGGAATCGGAATCTTTTGCAGAATCCGGTTTCGATGATGCTGCTTTTTTGGCAGATCGTTTCTGTTTGCCTCTGGCCGAATGGGCTTTCTCGAGATCTTTCTGTTTTGTAACGTTGGCGTCATTGTATTTTAGGACTCGACTTTCTGGTACCCATTCATCCCAGCTGAAATTGTTTATGGGTTATTTAATGGAAATATATTATATGGCAAAACGCTCTAAGGGCAAAACAATATTATTATATGATTAAAAAAAGCAATAATTATTAAACAATTTACTCACTTTTTATTCCAACCAGCATAATGTATGAAGTATTTTACTTGCTTCTCTTTGGAAATGGTGCATTTGAGGCACTTGGCTTCATAAATCAAAGGACCATGGAAGCACAAGACCTTTTCCCCTGAAAATACGTTTTATTTTAATGTTTTTTGAAAATTATTGATCAGAAAGATTGTGGCTTTACGTACCTTCTTGAAATTTAAATTTGGGAGGCATTTTTGTTTGGTAAAAACTTTAAAAAAGATGTCTTTTAGGCTAGTGGTGGAGAACTATCGATGGCACTATCGATAACTATCGATAGTATTGACTATCGAAATATATCGATAATTTTTTTCAACCATCGATAGTTTTCGATAGTTAATTAATAAGTGAAAGTTAGGTTAGATGCACAAAACTGAACTGCAAAAACAAGAATCTAAACTACTTACGATTGCTCATCCTCATAAGACGTAAGTTTGCCAGTTCTTGAGTGGGCAAGGCCTGCGAGTGACGTCACAATTATCAGTACCTTATAGCGGTGACGTCACCCGCAGGCCTCGATGGGATGCTTGCAATTCAGGCTGTGCTTTTGAGTTATTTTTTTTCTCGATTTTAATGTAGAAAAGCTGATTTTAAAAATGGAAATTTTTTATAAAAAGCAATTTTAAAAGACTTTCACTGTGGTGCGTGGTGCCATTATTTCTGACAAAAGTTCTTGAAGAACGTTGAAATAATCGATAATGATAATGATTTTTATACAAAAATTCTAGGCTTTCAGAAAGCAGGATATTTTCATTTTCGGAAAAAAATATGTTCTCCGCAAATGATAGATGTTGATGTTTAAAGATCATTAAACTATTTCCTAGAATCATATTTTTAGTACGTCAAAAAGAAAATAAGGTTTTTGTCTATCTATCTATCCTTTGCTAACTAATGTAATTTACATTCATATGACGTACAGATATCTTTAATATTTCCTTATAACTTGTAACTAATTACTATCGAAAACTATCGATATTAATCGATAGTCAAGGTCCCGACGATCGATAAATATCGATGGTCGGGACTATCGATAGTTCTCCATCTCTATTTAAATTTTCTAACTGACCCAGGTGAAGCCCAAACAACTGTCTACAGCGAAGTGAACTGTGAAGTGACTGAACCTGAAGGGAGTAAACTGTGAAGAGAAGAGTGAACTGTTGAATGAAGTGCTTGAACTGCAACTAGTGCAGTGCAACTGAACTTGAATGATAAAAGAAAAAATAGTTGTATTCCTTTCACACCTAGGAGGAGCTCCGGAACAGCTCCGGGGCATCACGCGCTTATTCCTTTCGAAAAGTGGATCTAAGGTTGCACCACGCATATGTTCCCTGCAAATCGGGGGCGACTAACCTTGCGTTCGGTATTTTGCTCAAAGAGCAGAGCGTGCTGAGCGGAGCCGTAATCACGTGACCAGTGAGCGAACAGAGCAGTTGAACGCTGTATAAAAGTGCCAGAAATTTTAATAAATGAACGCGAATGAGGCTGCACCGAGTACACTTTTTAAATAAACGAACGGTAAAGTCAAGCTCGGAGAACTCGGACCAAAATAACGAACGCACGGTAAGCACCGAAGCGAGTAGCTCGAGTGTTTCAAGCTCTTGAAAGGAAAACAACTAACCTTGCGTTCGGTATTTTGCTCGAAGAGCAGAGCGTGCTGAGTGGAGCCGTAATCACGTGACCAGCGAGGGAACAGAGCTGAACGCTATATAAAAGTGCCAGAAATTTTAATAAACGAACGCGAATGAGGCTGCACCGAGTACACTTTTTAAATAAACGAACGGTAAAGTCATGCTCGGAGAACTCAGACCAAAATAACGAACGCACGGTAATAAGAATGTGCTCTGCTAGACATCAGTGAAGTTAGCTGAGCGAATGACAGGTATATATCGATGTTTTCCGAATATCGACGTGCAAGAATAAAATTATCGATGTATTACAGAAAAGTTTAGTTGTGTTTCCAGAGAGCCTCATTACCGCGGTACAGAATCTGATTAAAAACAATTCGCATAAGCAAATCCATTTATCGTTCATCATGGATCACTAAATTTTTTCGTTACAGTTTTTGCTTCGCGGTGCAGGTTGAATCGGTTCCGAATTGATTCTGAACAAATTGTACCGTGTACCGGTTCTGATGTTTCTTTCTCAAAATTGAATATAATCAATATTTTATTTTATTGGAATTTTTAATTTCTGCAGATTATTTCTGAACTGGTTTTGCTTTGAGAAAGAAGTTTGTTTTTGAAGCCAGAACAGTTTAAAACCGATGGTCCGAAGTCCGAACAAAGAATTTGTCAAAATTCCGTATATTTATGAACTTTTAAAACTGAAGGTTCGAACTACTCTGAGGTGCGAACTACTCGAACATTAATAAACAAATGCGCAAGCGTAGTTTAATTCAAAACTGATTCAATCAACTTTCTGAACGCAGCCCTGGGCTGCGTTCAGGAATGGCTACAGCCAAGCCAAAATTGGCATTTTGCGTTTGCGTTCGGCTCCAACCTACGTGTGCGGCATTACCGGTGGAGGGGGAAAAGTAGGTTTTGGCATTAGCATTGCCGTCTTTGAACTAGAGGTCGAGAACTATCGATAGTAGGCGCCATCGATATTTATCGATAGTCGACAAGAAACCATCGATAATTATCGATAGTTTTCGATAGTTTCAAAGTTCTGAAATAGACATGAAAATAAATTCTTTCACTGTAAAAACTTTATTTTTAAACTGTAAACTTATCTGATGATACCTTATTGTATTAAAAATTCACATTTTTATGTATAAATATTAGCATATTAATATTGGCCGGTTTTATTCTGGATCGATGGATGACGTTTCCACTTTCAATTTACACTGGACATCAGTGACATCTGACAGTATGGTGATTTCGATTGGTGGAACCGGAGCAACAAAAATTTCTTCTCTTCCTTTATGTTTCCATTCCGATATCGTGTTACGCATCCTCTCTCTTTCCTTGTCTAAAGGTCTGTTCCCACAGGAGTCTCTGACAGTTTGCAAACTGTCAGTAAGCATCGCCCATACATGTTTTCAATGCTGTCGTTACAAGATAAATCTGTAACTCAGCTGAGCGATTGTTTCTGACAGGTTGCAAACTGTCAGAGACTCCTGTGGGAACAGACCTTAAGTTGCATAACATGCAACTATCGACACTATCGATATTACAAGAAATACTATCGATAATTTTCGATAGTCCAAACTATCGATAACTATCGTTAGTTCTCGACTTCTACTTTGAACGCACCCCAGGTATTGGCTCTGTTCCAACCGACATGAGAACCGTTCTAGAAAAGTAATTTCCAGTGTTCCACCTATTTTTCAATAATTCAACTAAAATCGGTTCCGGATCATTTCCTAACGAGTTCCAAGGATTTCAAATAAATTCAGGGAGTGAACTCTGCGCCTACCGGTAGGTCCCACTTCTTTCATTGATTGTGTGCCTACCGTATGTATAACGCTAAAACATTATGGTAGGTCCGATAGGTCCCCAATTGCCACATGATATAACGCCTATCGGTAGGTACTATATAGGTGTTATATTTGAAAAAGGTTTTTCACGTTTTTGGAGGCTGTTTTTGGTGGATTTGCTCTCCCGAGGATCTTCTTCTCTTTGAGGTTTGGCCAGCATAGCGAGCAATCGAAGACTCAAAAATCATTTCAAGCTGTATGCAGAAGGATTTTCAATAGGTCTAGAATGAGGCAGATTTCAAACATCAACAAGTCCCAAGCCGAAATTAGAAAGATGTTAAGTACTAATAAAGGCTTATTACTCAGTGGACGAATTTCTTAATGACATTCTACAAACAAACAAAATTGTATTAACGCATTTACCTAACAAGAGCTGACTGGTAGGATATACGGATTCTAAAGTATAATAGAACACCTTCCAGTAGGCGCTTGATCAATTTACGAAAAAGGACCTACCTACCAGTAGGCGCACAATCGGCAGATGAAAAAGGACCTACTGGTAGGCGTAAGATCGTTGGATAAATAAGGACCTACCGGTAGGCGTAGGGTTCACTCCCATGAATTCATATATTCGAGGAATGTGGCAGTAATCTGTGCACACTGTGGAGTAGTATTCAAAGAATGATTCAAAGTTTGCAATGAAAAGTTTGTTGGTGTTCCGGGTTTCGTTGTTCGGATTATGATTCGCGAATAAAACTATCGATATCGCACGTTATTGATAATTATATTGCCGGATAAAATCGGTTTCTGGAGTGAAACTTCTTTTTGGGATTTGAATTTTTTGAAAAGTAAAAGTATACTCACGAAGTTAATTTAGACAAACGATAAGCATTGAGAGGAATCGCAGTATTTGTACAACCGACAACCGGGCCTAGAAGTGTATGATTTATATATTAAAAATAAATTCAAAGACGATGTAAGACATTGCGTTAGTCGTTGAAGACGTCTTTATGTCCCATTTAATTTAGAAGTTACTGGAAATAACTTTAATAAGCCTTTTGAAAAGTTGTTCAAAACACTTAAAATTCAATTCAGAATTTCTAAAAGCATTCCGTAATGCTTCAGAACAATTTGGAACCTTCAGAACGATTTAGAATGCTCCAAAACATTCAAAAACTGATTAACAATTTCCATAAGCATTTTAGAACAATTCAGAAGTTTGAAACCCATTTCAGGACGCTACAAAACACTTAAAGGGGGTGTGCGCCAAAAAAACAACTTCATCTCAAAAAAAAGAGAAAAAAAATCTAAGAATAACAGTGAAATCCGCACCCCTCTATGACAAATAATACCGCAGATATGGCTCTATGAAGGTACCGCATCTCACCCTATGACTCTATGACGTCACGAAAGTTCAAGCGACGCACGAGAAAGTGGATTTAATTAAATTTACATAATGTTTTTCCTGTGTTACCTGCAATAATCTAAACAAAAACCACTCACGCGTGCCGGGAACAATCAAATTAACAATGCAGAGCGCCGCTGGACGAAGTTTTCGTGACGTCACGAGAGCGTCGTCCACACTTTAAAGCGGTATATCTCAGCGATGGTTTATCGTAGAATAACGAGGTTTGAACAGTTATTCTCAGATTTTTTTACACTAAAACTTTAATTTTTGGCGCACACCCCCTTTAAACACTCTAGAATCTCCAGAAACATTTTGAAAAGCGAGAATCTTAGGATTCAGGTTCAAATCCAAATGAGAATTTTCAGGAGAATTTTGGAACATCAGAGTTATTTCACCACAATTGGGATTCAATTTAGAACTAACTATGGAAACCTTTTGGAACTCTTTTGAACTAATTTAGAACACTTTGGAGCTTCAATAGGGCTCACTTGAAAATC